GCTGGCCAAAAACAACAAACTAATGGCGCGACAGCCTGGATCTTCTCAGAGCTGGCATTATCTTGTTCTCAAAGCTGAAGAGGCCCAGTGACAGGACAAAGCTACGCTACGACTGAAAACAAGTTCACAAAAAATAATTTTGTGAAGCGTTTCGAGTATTGAAATAGCCATTGGCACAAGTACATAATATATGGAATGGGTATGCCTTTCAAGGACCCCAAATAGATATTCAATAATTTAAAAAAAAAACGTGAGATTCCTCAAACAGAGCTCGCATAAGCCACTCTGTAGTAGACGATTTAGTGAGCCGTGCCCAACCGCTCGACAACCAAATTGAATATGCTGAAAACATTTCAATTAAAGTCAGATTCAATTAATTACGCGCTAAATGATGATGACTGCATTTTGGGTCTATTATGAGTTTGTTTAACCAGCTTAAAAGCGAGTCGGTGGCGGGAATAAAAACGTTTTCCAATTTAGTGCCAGGACGAGCAGGAGAAGCGACGACGACACACAGAAGAAATTCAATTAACCTCGAGTGCCTTGGCTGCCGCATTGTGTGGCATAAAACAAAATGCGGTGGCATTCGCCATTCACACCTCATCAGCATCAAGTGGGAGGGCCAGACTGACTTCGATGGCCACAAGCCCTTAGCTACAGCTCAATTGTTAATAAAGTTCACATTTGTTTGACTAGCCAAACTTAGCCGGCGGCTAACAATAAAAGCTGCCTGCTGATTAAGAGCTGAGCAAACAAATCCAGTTCTCTGTTTGCTTAGCCAGTGTCTAAGCAGCTCGCTCGAACTGTATTTTAAACTGTTTGTCTGCTGCCTCCCGCTGCCACTCTCCCCTCCTGCTCTCGCAGCTATGTAATTAACATTTCAATTCTAGGCTATTTACCTATCGTATAGCCCACTTCCAACTTCATCAGGCAAATGTATCTCTTCTGCCTCAGCTGCTCTGTGCGCATCCTCATCATCTCCTCTTTTTTTTCGTAAAATGCCTCGGCAATAAATAAATTGTTTTCCAGCTCCTGTTTTTGTTGACATATGCAAATTTTTGCTGCCTGCACGCGTACAACAAAGTTTTTTGATTGCTTTTAAGCGCTATATGCTATATGCTATATGCACTCCAGCTCTGGGGCTGCTGATGGTGGGTTAGTGGTTTAGGGTGGACCAGCGGCCAGGCTATTTGCCTGGCTGGAAGCTTGTTCAATGCGCTCTGATTGTTTGCTCTTTGCTGGTTTTATTACTTGTTTGTCAGCTGGAGTACCTGATGGCTGTAGATGTATAGCATTTATGTAAATTAGTGCAGATGAAGCTCCAAATAATATGAGAGTTGAGAAAGATTTTATCCAAGTCTGTCTGCGATATTTTGATTTAATAAAGCACTTATTAGAGGAAGCAAAGCAGAGATCTTAAAGCTTATGCTATATATTTCTGATCAGCTCATCTTCCACTTTACTATTTGACTATATATGCGATATAAATTTTATAAGTTATTTAGCGCTTAATTGAGTTAAGAGTTAGTTTAAGTGTTATTATAGTCATATTATTTCTCTATATATTTTTATATATTATTATTATATTAATTATTATATTTTATTATTAATTATATATATATTATATTATTAAATTATATTATTGTACTAAATATTATTAGTCCATTTCTACTTAAACCTCCACAGCCCAAAAAATATTTAAAAAAATAAAATGTTGCAAGAAGCTTCGAGGCATTTGAAGCCTTGCCAGGGCTGAAATGGGACATAAGCCATTTTCCAGCATTGCCTTGATGCTTTGTCGCTTCCATGCTTGCCAGCTCAGGTGCAATTAAATTTGAATTATTAAGTTGTACTTCATAAAAATTTCTATCTTAAAATCTCTCTAAAAGATCACTTTCAACTGTGGCAGCTGTGGGCCTACTTGACATAGCAGCAACAAGAATAGCTTCAGCAAGTTCCCAGATGGGAAATATGAAGTGGACAGTGTAACTGTAATTATATTAACAATAACTTTTTCTCTAGCTTGAGCCCAGTTATTTTATGATTAAGTCCACTAATTTGCTTACGAGCTCACAGCCTCAACAACTTTCGACTTGGTAAGTGAAGATCTCGAAGCTTGTCCGTTGCTGTAGGCTTAGCTCAGTTGCTACACCCCCTACTTCCTTAACTTGCTATACAGAAATGGCTTCTAGATCTAATCACTCTTATTATTATATTAAAACTAAAGTCGATTCACACTTTCAAAGATAATGAAACAAATTATGCTTAGATGATAACGCACAACAGAATAAAAATCTCTATAATTTAAACAAGATAAACACTTTCCATAATTTAAGTTTTATTGATATTTATTTCATATAATTATTAATCAAATATTTATTGTATTAGAATCACTTTTTGTTTAAGATATGATATCTTTCTATAGATATTATATAGTCAGCTTATCATAGTTAATAGATCGATATGAATTGATATGATGTTGCTATGATATTCTTTAGGTTCAATATTTTTACTAGCAAATCCGAACTGAGGAAGTTCAGGACATCCTTTGATACCTGCGATAGCAGGCTAGCTCCACGCTCCAAGCTTCTGGCAGCTGCAGTGGCCTGCCAAGCTGCTTGACGGAACATCTTCTCCAGCCGTTGGCTGTGCTGCTCCGACGGCAAAGCTGTTGCCAGAATGCGTGCCCGTTCCAAGCCATCGCTGCTTGCTGCTTCCTTCGACTCCCCCTCGTGGTGGCTGTGGTTTGTGTGTGGCGCCAATGGCGCTGCCTGCGCTTTTATAGCTGCCGCCGAACGGCTGGCGCAGCTTTCTATTCCCCACACGCAAATTGAGGCTGAGCTTTCAAAGTCCCCACACCAGCGTGTGTTGAGTTTCGCTCTGTCTGTCTGTGTGTGTGTGGGTGTGTTGAGTTTTAGGTGGCAACAATTGTAGCTGCCTAATTGGGTGTGCGCGAGTATATAGATATGAGAGGTTAGGTAAACAGTTATAACACACACATATATATAGACTGTGCGTACGTGTGTGTGTGTGTGTGACCTTATCAGTGTGTACGCTAAAGGAGGAGCTACAATTTAACTTTGCAATGGCTGCCCGAATATTTCGCGTTGCTCCCAAATGAAATTTAAATACTAAACTGCAAATTTTGCCTGGAATATTTCTAAATCCTTTGCCTGCGCAGTAAGTGATTAAAGCCATTAACGAAATTATCAGGGATTATAAAGATTTGTACACAATTTGATGCGCTGCCACGTCGACTACCCACCCCACACACAGACGCCCCCACACCCCTCTCCCTTGCTCTTTGCACCCTTTCAGCCGGCGCCCATTGCGCAGCAGAGACAATGCAATTTACCGTAATCCAGGAGCTTCAATTAATGGAGTGTCGACGTCGTCGCCAGCGAAAAGGGGTTGCTCAGCAACCTACCCCAACCCCGCCCGAGCCAGCGTTAAAAAACCGTATAGTTGATAACACAATGAAATGCATTAGACAGCGCCGAGCTAAGATTGTATCGAGGTGAGGGCAACTTCCTTTGCTTCAAGGGTTGCCTCAGCTCATTAACAATCTTAACAAAAATGTTTCAATGCCAAATTTTCTTAAGCTGACGACACTTTTTTGACGTCAATTCAGCATAGTTTGTGCCCAGTCTGCCTAGCTGTCAACTTTTATTGTAAGAAATGAGAGAATTTCATTTAGTCAACTGCCGTCCACAAAAGGTCAAAGTTTGCGAAAATTGATAAAAATGCCAAGAGTAACTGACGTTAACTGCAATCATTTATCAGCGTATACAGCATTGTCAAGTATATGTTCCAGTCAAAGTTCATGTCAGTTGGCTACAAGCATTTGGCATTAGGAAAACTTCATTTACTCTATTTATTATCGTTAAATGAGAGAGCATCTATTATGTTTCTAGTTGGCAATACCAAAACGTAGTCTCATGTTAAATATTTACAAGGCAGATAAATTGTGATGGTATAAAAAAAATATTAATATGTGAAGTAACAATTTTATAGCCAGAGCAATGCCCAAAGATCTGACTATTTTCTCTATTTTAACTTCATGTCAAATAGTTACAATGCACATCAGCAAGTGTCAAACTTTTACTAGCATCTCTTGTATTGATAACTTTTTTATCTTCATGTCAAATATTTACAAGCTAGTTAAGTTTATTTTAACAATACTAAATAACATCGTTCTATCAAATACTTGCAGGTAGGCTGTAATTTACAGCCAGACCACTTTTTTACAAGGTGGATACGCAAAATGCTATATGGAAAGAAGTGTAAAGACTTGGCAATCCTACAATTTATTATCAGGTCAAATATTTACAAGCAAAATTCATATGCTTTTTATGCATTGCAGGTTTAAAACACTAAAATTTATCAGCAACTTAAATATTTACAAGCTAGTTAATTTATAACTGTATTCTGAATAGCGCCAGAAAAGGAGGCAACAATCAAATTTACAGTCAAATCAAATAATAATGCTAAATTGTGGCTTAGGCAGTATTGCCAGATGCGGCATACTAGGTGGCAACCCTGAAAGTTAATCTCTTGTTAAATATAGATTGCAAAATATTCGACTGGGCAAACAGAAGATCTCCACTCAAGCCTGTCATACATAACCTCTACAGAAAACGATTCAAAACGACTTCAGTATCTTCCATATATTTCAAACATTGTTAAAGCTAAAATAACTGCAGAATCATACACAAATATAGAATAGAGCAGCTTCTTCGATATCTAACTCTATAAGCGATAAATCGCACGGTATGGGTATTTGCGAGTCAGGCATTGCCGGCTATATGAGACTCTTATTAGTTATACACAAAGCTATATTACGCATTATTTGTCTATCAGTCGGAAACTCTAGTACTATTTGCAAAATCTACATTTAAAGCTGAGAATCGCTTAGCTGAAAATCAAGTAAGCCTTGCTTTGCCTTTACAGCGCTTGTCAAGTTGAGGTCCTAGAGCTCAAACAATATATGTGTACATCATAGACACAGACATAACCATAGCCCAATTAAATCATTAGAAATATCGCATGAAGAATTTTAATTAAAAAATAAAAAGATTTCTATTATTTGTGAAGCAAAATCTGAACTATAAGCAAAAATGGGAGATCATGCAGTTGATCCAGTGGCGTCGATAGAGAGATCCGCCACTGCGGATGATGAGAGACACATTGTGATCGATGAAGTCCCCTTGGGCGAGCTGATAGAAGATTTAAGTGTGGATGTTGAAGATTCGAAGCCAGAATACGATGAAGAGACGACCTCGATTATGGAGGACGACGAAGTAGACGACGAAATGCGCGCCAAGATCGAGTACAAGAAAAAGATGAAGAAACGCGAACAGAAGCGGCAAGCGCACTTGAAATTGAGGGGCCACTTCAAAGATATGGAAGATGAAAAGAGACAATCGTCAAAGCCTATCTTGTCCGCGGAAGTCGAAGCAGACGAACTGAACGAAGGTGAAGAAGGTGAGGAAGGCGAAGAAGGTGACGAAATTGGTGACCTTGGCGAGGGCGCCGAAGGCGACGAGCTCGATGTCAAATCTATAATATCGTCTTCGGACGATGATGATTACTCGCGACGCGTCTGTGCGGTGTCCTTTAAGGGTGATTTCTTTCAAAATTTCTTATTTCCCAGTCTCTCGGACATAACGACCGAATCTGAGGAAGTAGCGGAAAGCGCTAGACCGACTTTAGAAGAAAAGGAGGCAGATAAAGAGAAAAAACTATCTGAGCCTGAGACTGGCCAATTTGTGGATGCCGCAGGCGTCGACCAACGTCCAACGTTCATGGCGGAGGAAGAACATGTGCGTGAGGCACAGCAGGACCTGGAAGAGGTATCAGAAGAGACTTCCTCCTCAAGCATTTCGTTCGATTGGCCCTTTCCTCTAGAGGATGAACCACCCGTCGCTCCGGCTATTGACGCAACGGAATTTGCTTTGGGAATGCTTATAGAAATGGACTCAACGCTACGAATCGTTCCGGCCGTATCGACCGGCGAACTCGAAACTGTGCGCATCGAGCTCGCCAATCGTCAAATTTGCATCGATCTGCTCTATCGGATTATCGACGATGTTGTCGAGACGGCTGAGTATGTGAATCCCCTCAAGCTGCTCCTGAGCAGACTCGACAAGCCCAAGCTTCTCTCGGACCTGCATAATGTCATATCCGAATGCTTTGCCGCCAAGCAGTTCAATAGCGATCTAACCAACAAAATGTTCGATTATTATCGTCGTGTGGGTCAGCTGCGGTGCTTCGACCCCTTGTTGTCGCAGCAAGAACTAAAGGAATACAAACGCCACAGAGAGGCTTTGGCTGTGCTCGATCACCTGAAGAAGAAAGCTGCCGAAACAAAGGCCAATTACGTTTGGCTCATGGCCAGCGTCATAATGGATCTCAACTATGTGCGCAAGATATCGCTGACGACAGTCGATTCGCTGGAAAACTGCTTTCGCACGACGCTGCTGCGCAAGGACTTCGAGGTGATGCCGCGCATCGTCGAGCACGAGCTGCGACGCATGCAAAGTCTACGCAACGAGATCAGCGATAGTCGCCTCGGGCTGATCACCAGGCAGCACACACTGGGCAGGCTGATCGAGGTGAGTGCAATCTACCTATCTAAGGGGCTATCATAATTGATATATTCATTGTCTGTCCTACCTGTCTGCCTGTTCTGAGCTGATCTACATCATCCTATAATGCTGTCTGATCTATATGCTTGAACTGTTCGATTGATTTATCTACTCTATGTGATGTTCTCTTGTGCTATTTATCGAATGCCTTACCTTATCTTTTATCTCGTATATCCATTATGGTCTTCTCTCTGATCTTCTATCATTCCTTCGTTATTTCTCCTTAGCGCAAACGCCAATTTGATCAAATTACTGCAGATTTAACCATGGATCAGTTCTTGAATGCTCAACGTGATGTCATAGCACTAGGCACAAAGGTTGAAGGTATGTCAAAGCTCTCACTCTCCCTCTCTATCTTAATCTCTCTGCCTTTCTCTCATTCTTAATCTCTCTCCCTTACTTTCTCTCTATACATGTTTGCCTCCGCATCTCTGTCTCTGTCTCCAAGTATCTCTCGATTTTTCTCTCTCTCACTCTCCCTCTCTCTCTCTCTTAATCTCTCTGCCTTTCTCTTTATTAATCTCTTTGCCATTCCCTCTCTCTTTCATAATGTCTTTGCCTTTCTCTCTCTCCCTCTCTCTCTCTCTAAATCTCTCTCCCTTTCTCTTTCTTAATCTCTTTGCCTTTCCCTCTCTCTTTCTAATGTCTTTGCCTTTATCTCTCTCTCTGCCTTTCTCTCATTCTTAATCTCTCTACCTTACTCTCTCTCTCTATACATGTTTGCCTCCGCATCTTTGTCTCTGTCTCCAGGTCTCTCTCATTTTTTCTCTATCTCGCTCTCTCTTCCTTTTTTTATTTCTTTTTTTCTTTCTCTCTCTCTCTCCCTCTCTCTCCATATATATTTACATCTCATTTGATAATAGAACGCAATCACGACTTAATTCGAATGCGCGATCGCTGCACCAAGCACGTCCATCAGTTGGCATTCATTCGTGAGAAAATGAGCATGATTTCGGCTGCGCTGTGCAATTACAAACTCGATTTGGATGAGAAAATGGAGAGACAAGCCGAGTTGCGCGACCAGCTGTTCACGCTGAAGATCGAGCACGCGAACCTCAAGAATCAGAAGGCGCTCATGCAGGAGAAGAGCGGACTGCTCTATAGGCCGGCGCTGTTGCACGATTTTGATAAGACCGTCGAATTGGTAGAAATGAAACGTAAAATAGTCACAAAATTACGACGTATTGTAGTGGATTTGGAATCACGCATCGACCTGTACGAGGTTCAGGCCCGTTCCTCCATAACATCTCACTCAATAGCGTCAATAAGGAAATTTCAAAAGATTCCATCCAAGAAAGTACGCTAATTCAATTTTATACACTTGTACACTTTTACAGTTTATACATTAAATAAAGAACAATAAACTACCGATTCCTGCCGTTTCATTAGGTCTTCAGTCTCTCCTCTCTATAGCAACCAAATTTACTTTCATATTTGATTTCTTTTTTTTTATTGCCCAGCACTTGATGACGCTAAATTAACTGGCAGACATTTCTATTAGCAGCTCATGAATGCCAATGCCAATCTACTCTTAATATATGCACGATGCTATCCGCTTGATAACACTTCAAATATGCCACGGGGGCGGAGCTAGAAGCGGGGCTCACGTTGCTGCGACAACCAGCAAAGTTGCTTCTCCCTCGCTCGCTCTCGCTCTCGCTCTCCCTTATCTTGGCACGTGGGCAACGTTTTTGCGCCTTTGTCTAAATGAATTTAATGAAATGGAAATGTGCAGTCATGAGACTCCAGAGAGCCCACTGTGACTGACTGTACCTGCAGCTAAATATTGCTTTAAAAATTTAAGCCCGGCCTAAAGCAAACATAAGTAAACAACTTTAAAAGAAACTTATCTACATACTACATACTACATAGCTACATCGAGGTAATATATTAAATTATAATAATCACTTTTTGTAATAGAGCACAGCTCCTCTTTCGACGCTTCTTTAGTGCAGCATCGTCCCTTCAGTTTCGGAGAGAAAAGTTCTCAGGACAGTTCCCAAAGCAGATCAAAACTGGCAATACTTTTTGCGCACACCTCGTATATACCTGTTCAGTCTTAGGCAGTCTAATGTACAGCGGGTAACTCCAATAACTATTTACCTCGAGTTCAGGACTTGATTCTATAAAAGGCCTAACAAATTTGAAGAATCCAAGGATTCCCGAAATTGAACATTCGCAATACTTTACAAACGGACCTCGCTCACTGATTTATTGTGCTCGTCAATGCTCTATCAAGCAATACCCTTGGCTCTTAAAAGTCTGCTGCCTGGCTCTCTCCAGGGTATCTCATAGCCATTCACTTTAAAACAACTTTTTGTTGCATACGTTCAGGCGCCGGCAAATGCAACAGCTACAAGAATATGTTCTCGTTTTACAAGCAGAATTCGAGGCATTCACACACACGTAGACAGACCAACACACACACACACACACACATGCACAAAGTACCTTTTCACACATGAGCGCACACGCTGGCATACCCCAGTTGCCCAAGAGCCCCATGAGGGGTGTTCCCTTCAGCTGTTGTTGTAAATCACGAACTGAAACCGTAACCGAAACCGTTAACGTGTTGCGGTTACGCTGCTGACTTTGCTGTGGCAAGCCGAGGGAAGGAGAGAGAGAGACAAAGAGGCAGAGAGAGCGAGCTAAAAGAAGTGAAGAAAAAAGTCATTCCATTTGGGCTTTATTAAATGCGCCAGCGGGGCGGGGCACGCACATAAGGAGGCTGTGTGGGAGTGTGTGAGAGTATGTGTGTGTGTCTGTGTGCTTGGCAGGGCAACGAACGTCCTGTCTCCCAAACTTTTTATTGCGAATTTCATTTTTTATTTCTCGCTCTGTTTTCCTGCTCGTTCAGCAAGTGAGAAGAGTATATGAGGTTTGGACAATGTTACTGCAACAAATATATGAAATATATATACTAGTTTGAGCTCTCTTCTTATAAAGTCTTAAGACTGCAAATTTGGAATATATATTCTATATATATAAAACAACCCACGTAAAAAATATATAGTAGATATATCAACGCTTATAGAAGGCGTGGCAAATCGGCAGCTAGAGATGCAGAATTTCACAGTTAAGTTTCACTAGAACCGTGAACGAGTATTATGCAGTCAGTGAGGCCCGACGCACTTGCTTTCTCTCTCAATTTTCAGCGAGGTTTATCAAACTTCTTACATTTGTTTTGTTGTAAAATGCGAACGGCAAACTTTGCGATTTAATGATTCGCTTTTGAGTGTCGGCTTTAGGCGTAGCAAGTGGGTTAGCCAGCGCTGGGCTATCGCATTTCAGCTCCAAGACATATAGAAATTGTTTCAATTCACTTTTTTGCTTTCTTTTTTATACCAACCCAGATTTGTCAATGCCTTGACACAATGATGCATAACGTTATCTGAGATTTTGAGAGCAGAAAAAGGAAGAATTAATCTTGCTAATGTTTGCGATGTGGTGGGGCGCGTCTCAATCACATAATGCGATTGTTGATTGTTGATTGTTGATTGTTGATTCTGGACTAGCTTTAATGCTCTTTAGTCTATGTGTCTCTTGCTAATTGCTGCATATTGCTATGGCTACACGCATAATCACATCAGCTTCCACACGATTTAACAGCAACGCAATTGAGTTGCGTTCACATGGCAACAGCTTCTTCATGTCCTTCATATCCTGGCTGCTTGTCTGGCTGCCCCATTGCAACGGCAACGCGTCTGCAACACTTTTTTGGCTTCGCATTGATTGCTCCACAAATTGCGCAATTTCTGGCTAAAAGCATTGCAAAAGCAGTCAACAACTATTGTTGCCTCACTCTCCCCTCCACCCTCTCTCTCTCTTTATATATAGTCTATTCAGTTGTCCTGCATTGCTTCCTTTTTGCTGCCATGACACTTAAGCTGCGATAAAAATTCCACTCGATAAGCATTTTGTTTTGCATCGTGGCATGAGTTTCGCTCAGTTTGATATAAGCTGTTGCCAGCAAACAAATTCAATGTTATAATCGTTGTGGAGCGACTGTTAAGGCGGACTATGGGTAGACATTCCCAAGCCTCTCTGAGGTGCTTCGGAAGCCCTATAGATCAAAAAATAAACTGCAAAAGAAATATATGAAAGCAAATATAATAAATTGACAAGCAATTCAGCGAAAATTGTTGAGTTATGCAACAATGATTTCATCCATGAATAAGAAACGAAATGCTATTCGCCGAAATTACAAAGAAACCCTAAAAAAGACATACAAAAATTAAATTAGACTCAAAGAAATCAAAACCCGAAAAGAAAACTATTCCTGAAAAATGTGTTTAATATTTTAGAAAATAATTAAAACAGCTTTAAAAATATATTGAAAAAGTTGAAAAAATATTTGAAAAACCTTAAAATATCTTGAACATTTTTTAAAATATTTGTGAACATTTTGAAATATTTTAAAATATTTTGGAAAATGTTTGAAATATTTTTAAATATTTTGGAAAATGTTTGAAATGTGTTAAAATATTTTGGAGAGTGCTTGAAATGTTTTAAAGTATTTTAAATTGATTAAAAATATCTTACAACAATTTTATAAAGATATATTTTTTTAATATCTCTTACGACGTTTTTAAAGTTTTCTAAATTTTTTTCAATATTTTTTTAGCTATCTAAAATGTCTAAATATCAAAAAAAAATAGTTGAGAATACATTTGATAAGCTCTAAAATTAACTAAAAGAACTTTTAAGTTATGAATAGTGTCAAGATGATTTAATTTATACAACGTTTATCAGTAACTTTTAGAAGAATAACTGCAATATTTTGTAAAACTAATTGAGGTCACATTATCTGGAGGCCTTAAATATCTTTTAAGCAAGTGCCCAATTTTCATGACATTTTCAATATTGTATCTATCTGACATAGATTGTAAATTTCGACTAAATGATATATGCTGCCTTCAACAGTCAGATGGAACAAAATAAAGTTTAAGGAAGAAACACATTAGGAGAAGCAGAGATACAGAGGATCAAAGCTCGCAAGCTCAAAGCTCTACCATTTGCAGCGCATTGAAATATACCAAAAAGAATTAAAAATAATTAAAATGCTTTTGAAAACAATTCCTTATGCGAAATGGCAAATCTTTAGAGTATTCCATGCCATTTGCCGCCTGGCACGATGTTATTTTTGCAAATTTCAATGCCGTTTGGTTGGCTGGCCAAGCCGAGAGAGAGCGGAAAAAAGACTACAGGCCAGGCCGACAGCCAGTCATAATACTCATTATGAACGGCTTAAGCGATTTCCCCAGGGTCTGCACTAAGCCTCTTCACAGTGATTGAGATGCCCAACCACACACACACGCACACACACACACACACACATATGTGCTTTATTTATGCATATGCATACACACATTTCTATTTATTTGCCGAGTTTTTCTTCTTTTTTTTTTTGAAAAGCAATCTGAATGAAATCCGATTTGCAGTCTATATGTACTACAAAGTCAGCAAATTGGCAGCTGGTAAAGGAGGCAGAATCCTCTTCTTTTTTATACACGTTCACAAAAAGAGAAGAGTATATTGGCTTTGCTGTACATACACTCGTTCCTCTGCCCGTAATTGATAAACTTCCCTCTTGGAGCTTGAAACGGCCTTTTGAAGCATGAACGAGTATCGTACAGTCGATGGAGCTCGACTTCAGCATGGAGACTCGTTGTCAACATGATTGGCCTGACATGCTTAACACAACATGAAAATACGTAATAATTAACGTTTCACATCATTTTTATGTTCATATTTCCCATATTCATTTTTTTATCGGGCGCCACGTGCTAGGCAAATGGACAACGTCGTCGTCGTCAGTTTTTGGCTAATGAAAATAATCTGTCATCAAAAGGCGTATGACAAAGACAACCCCCCAACAGCAGTGGGCACAGGTGTAGCCTGCCTCGCAGCTCCTGCCCCATCGTCAGCCACATGCAACATCAATTACACAGCGCGCGCCGCCCCCACACTCCTCTTGATGGGTTTCGTTGACTCCCAACTATTAACTCTATATGCTGCTGGCTAAAAGGGTTGCGATTGCAGGAAATTGCATTTGTGTGGCCAAAATCAGATAAGATTCAGCTAGCAAATGCTTCATGTCCTGCGTCCTGCGTCCTCTGCAAAGGATATCACATTAAAAGCGCATCAAGTTGAGCCGAGGCTGGCAGCTAAAGGCGCATCCAAGCAGCGGAAATTGTTGCTGTAATTAGATTGCACGAACAATCGAGAAAAAGTAGAAGAAGAAATCTTCAAATAGACAGATTAAGAATGACCTCGACTATTAAATACTCTTACCTGTGTAGTGGAAGCCAACGAAAACGAAAATTATTTCTATGAATTATAAATTGGGAATTAAATTTTCAAATAAGAAATGAAATAAAATTTAAAAATAAATGAAATAAAATTTAAAAATAAATGAATTAAAATTTAAAAATAATAAATGAAGTAAAATTTAAAATTTAAGTATTTAAAAAAAATGCATTTAAAATAATCTTTTTGGCAGTTGATTTCTAGCTCCAAAATTGAAAAATATAGTTTTTCTCTGATTTTAGATATAGTTTTGTGTAACAATAACTTAATAAATATTATATAATTGTATAATATATACTTTAACTGATTTATCATATATAATTTATGCTCAATTAGGTGTCTATAGTATCAAATTGTGGGACCATGGATCCAAAGCTGTGGAAGATTTCATTTATTTAAGATTCTTTTCACATAAATTAAGCGATCAATAATATTCTAATTATCGAGTTGATCTAGCTCTATATATAGTAGATATATCTACGTTCAACAGGGGCGTGGTAAATCTTTTACGATTGTATCTTGAATAGCCTTGAAGCTGGAATTACCTAGTTTTGCGCTAAGGCCATTGTTGACCTAATTTTTAAGTAGTGATTGGGTTCGCCTTTTGAGGCGTGGCAAATGGAAAAATATTCACTTTGTATTAAATGGGGTTATGTAACTATGTAACAATTTCTATAAAAAATATAAATAAATAAAGAACTTGAACTTGAATGATTCGTAACAGATAAAGTATTATTTTTATATAATTTTGGTTTTTGATTTTTTTTTTAATTTTTTTATTATATTTTTTCTATATTTTCCGAGTCTGATTGTACATACACTCACTTATATATCTTATCTCTAGCACAGACTTTTGAATAATTTCTCTCTCCACAATATCCACAATTCTTCTTTTACACATTTCAGTTCCACTTGTTAACATAGTCAATATACTCCTCAAATACCCTGTAACGGTCCCATTCGCTGGTCATTTGCGCCCCATTCACCCAGCCTCACGCAGCTCCGTTGGTCTTTAACCTGCCTATGCTTGACTGTTGCTTTGTTTGCGTCATTAAATTAAATATCCTGCCGTGCCCCAACCGGCAGAAAAAAGAACCTTCTTCTTCTTGTCGCCGTCATCATCATCGCCTTTGGACACAATGCGCGCAATTTCTGTCATTTCCTTAATAGAAATCTTATCTTTTGTGACGCCCAGGCAAAAGGCTGCAGCGCTAAGCCGGATATCGCACCTTTGACATCTGCCAGAGCTCGTGCGCGCTAGTGGCAAAGTGGACATTAAGACAGACCGATAAGCACACCCACAGTTATTTATATATATATATCAATAATAGTCTGACTAGTGACAATCAAACACACGTTTCAAACAAGTTTGAATAAAATTTCATTTTATAGAACTTAGCCGTAAAATTAATAAGGAGATGAGCCGCTGCTGCTGCTGCCAGGCCCAGAAGGACGACTGCCATAAGTGCAGATCTGCGCCGCAGGCTGTCAGCTGCTTTAACCAGCGAGTCAATCAGTATCCGGTCAGCGATGCACTGGCTCCATATCCGGATGAGATCATTATGACGATACTGGATCGTATACTCTACTTCTTTGGCGCTACCAACGTCTGCCATCAGCCGGAACCGGAACAGACTGCCATGCGTAAGCGATATATATATATAGATATATATATATATACAAATATATATATACAGCAATGCATAATCCTTAGACAGGCTTAGGCAATTCTCCATGTAATCCGCCTTCGTCTGTCTGCGGCAAGAGCAGCTGCTCTTCGGTCACCTGCAACATGGGCCTAATGTCCAAGGCCAGCACCACCAGCAGCTTAAGCAAATTTGCCACAGCCAAGTCGATGGGCAACAGCACCTTATGCAGCCCGAAGTCTAAGGGCTCCGTTTGCCAACCCGCTTGCTGTTGGTCTGGTCCACGCAAGCCGCACGTCGACTTTGCTCATCCCGTTTACGATAATCATCAGCGGGCTGACGACTCCAACACCCTATCGGAACGCATGAAGGTGTCGCTCTCGCAGGCCTCTATCGCATGCCGTCGACTCAAGTCCAAGCTGTCCACCAATTTGCAGCACCTGGGCAAGAAGTGTCTCTGCACGCGTCTGGTACGCTCCGAGAACGGCTGTCAAATCTATGAGGTGTACAAGAACTCGGGCAAGGAGACGACCTGCTGCGAGGCACCGGTCATACTCTTTCTGGTTACGCCCAACGGACAGGTCATGACTTTCGAGTCCCTGTCGACGTATTAAAAATGTATTTTTAAATCAGATACTACAAAATTCTGTATGACAAATAAACAAAGGATCTTTTATAATTATACATAGATAATTTATATAAAAATATATAGATAATTTATATAAAAATATAAATTTATGGACATTTACTTCACACTCGCAAACAGATTTGAAAAATGGTGTGAAATAAATTATGTAAGTTTAAATGAACTTATATAAATTACATAACATATATATATACATATATATATATATGTATAAAGCTCTGCAAGTTGCGGGCATCTCCTAGCCAAGCACTCCCGACTAGATACAATAAATTTGGAATGTAGCAATATCAATCTATATAAAACTTAAGTGAAGCCAGCATTTGGCGCTTAACAAATACTTACAAAATAAACTCAATTAAATTATATACAACTATATATAATAGTCACAGCTGCAGTCTAGGCAATGCGTATGCCCTTGCGAAACAGCACATAGACCATGCCAGTGCTAGCGAGCATGTAGAGCATTAGGATGGCGACACATTCGCCGCTGCTACGCTTCGCTGGGTTCAGTGTTAAGTTGACGAGGCCCGTCAACAAGTTGCAGAGTATGAAATGTGTTAATCCATTCAAATTGATGGTCTCCACAATGGCGGGCAAAGACGTTGGCTTTCCTGTTGGCGCCATCATACAGAACTCGAACAGAAACGAGCACAGCAGCAGGAGGATCGTGCCTATGCTGAACAACCAAGAGACATAGCCAGCATTGAAGGTGACGCGTGCTATGCCGAAGAGGAAGATGCTCGCAAAGGCTAACAGCCAGGATGCACTTGTTACCAGCAGCATGTTGCGCAGCTTGCTTAGAAACTGGGCATAGTTAAGCTTGTCCTTTGACTTGAACCACCTGCCACCCCAGGTGCTGAGCAGATAGAGCGAAATGCAGCCCGGCAACGCGCTTAAACCCTCGCGATTTGCGCTTAAGAGATTATTGCGATTGGCAGATGACATGACATAGGCTGAGAGACCTAGTTGCAAAAGAAACTCGTGCAGCGCAAGTATAACTGTAAAAGATATAGAATAGTTTAGTTAAGTCCTCAATTCTCTCAGCGACTCACCCAATGCCAGCGGCAGCAGCTGCTTATCGGAGCGTGCGAGCAGACTGCAAAGACTGCCCAGCAGTTTGGTAAAGCCCAGCGTAAAGAAGGCATTCAAATGTGTGCCATACTCATGCTCATCCTGATCGTAGTTGATCAGTGTGATGACCACAGTGCGCGTCAAGCCAAGCATCAACAGCGGTAACACAACCCTAACCACTCGCCTCATATCAGTCAAGTTCTGGGCACGCTGTGAGACTACGCCCATTGACATGACAAACATGCCAATGCCGACGTCCATTAGGGAGGCACCATATGTGCGATTTTTGCGCCACTCAAAGGGAAAGACTTTAAAGTCTACAGCCAAGATGACACAGCCAGTGCAGATGTAAGACGTTGCCCTTAGCAAGGTAATCGCTGCCGGTTTCTTGCCCACGTCGTAACAGTGTTTAGCAGCAGCTCCTCGCCAAGTACCATAGCGGAAGATCAGCAGCGTAATCAATGTTCCAATCACTAAACAGTAGAGTTTATTATAGCCACTGGTCACTGTACTGCTGCAGACGGTGGGCAGGGCAGTCAGCAGGAATTCCACAAGGAAACGACGCATGGAACGCAGTGGCAAGTGTTGGCAGAGCAGCTGCGACAATGTGAGACCCAACAATGTGGGCAATATTACAGGCAGAACATTTAAACTATCTCGTAGGATATCCCACGCACAATATTTTGAGTTTTTTTCCACAGTTTGAATTTCCAATGGATTGCACACAGCTTGTTCCATGTAGCTTTGGAAGATGTGCAGTGGAGCTGATAGCAAACATTTATCTGCTGTAACACATGCATCGTAGTGGTAGATTTCAGTATCAGAACTTCCCAAGTGAGCCATAATATAGCAAAGTTTACATTAACTTTAAATTAATTCGGCAACCGCATATAAATAAAAAACAGCTGATTTACAAGTGTGGCCACAGTGTCGAGCCAAACTTAAGGGCAAACTTAACTTAGTTCGAATTCGGTACTATTTAATTGATTTGAAGGCAATAATTCTTATTACATTAATTATATATTTCAATTTGTTAATAAATAAACGTAATAATTAATTATACGCGAAGCTTGTCAAATTATTTTACCACACTTTTGATTTGCAGGCGCTACCACATATTAAATGCTTTAATCAACACTGGCGCAGCATTCTAACTGCCGCCACAATTGTTACAAATGTTATCGATACTTAAAATTGACATATCGATAGTCGGTTTACTTTTAAAAACAAATAAATGCATTGGTCAAACAAATCACAAAGCGTTAAGGTTAAACTAAAGCTCATCATGCTGTGCTAAAGCCGCTGTTGCTTGCTGGAAATCTTTATGGGCCCGCACCTCCGTGGCCGCTTGAGCCACCAGGCGCTCAAACTCTGAGGCATCAAATCGATAATTGGTAAATTTGGCATGGGCGCCTCCTTCTGGATGATGACCCTCATCCTGTGGATAAACCAAATCACGCTGCTCCCAGGTGACATAGTGTACGCCACGCAGGCGTGCCAGATCCTTATAACAATTGGGATCCTCACAGTTATACAGTTCAAATAGGCAAGCCCAATTAGGCAGGAAGAGTAAATGCGTCAGGCCAGCTCCATGCATGCCAATGAGGATGTCCGAATTTCTTGTAATCTCCAATTGGTTAACAAAAGAGAGGCTATAGGAGTAAATTCAAATCAGCTATGGATTATAAGTAATATATTTAATATAGCATACCGTTCGTAGGAGACGCGCTGCACGTCGTAATTCTCATTGGCTTCCAACCGGGCGAGCAGCTCCTGCTCATTGAGCACTTGCCGGTACTTTGTGCGACGAGAGAGATATGTGATGCGCAGCTTCTTTACTGGCGGCTTGTATGGTATCTGCAGTCGATGCAAAATGAACTCGGAGAAGGCGCGAAAGAGTCCGCTATTCGAGCAGCCCTGAATCTGTGAGGCAACGAGATTGGGATTAAGATTCAAGATGCCAACGGCAACTACTCACAATAGGCGTATTGTAGAACAAGCCAAAGATCATGCGCGGCAGCAGCGGCAAAACAACATTTCGAAAGCAAATGCGTTTGCCCTGCACCTCGCTCAGCGTCCAAATCGGGCGCTGGGTGAAAGCTTTGAACGTATCCCGAAATGGTGAATCGTATGGATACGTTTCCCATATAAGAATCTGCACATCTGTATTGAACGCAGCCGGATGGGATTGGTTCACAAAGAGCGAGGCATACAGATTGAAAAAGTCACAGAAATGATGGTACATGTTGTAGGTGGCATCGATCTTCATGATGAAAGTGGGTGCGTTGACGACGAGATCACAGGCACCGCTTTCGAGCAGCGGTTGGGGCAGCACATCGAAGTAGCGCAGCTCCGGTGCCCACGATTGCAGCGCCGAGCCAATGTGATCCATTTCACCTTGGAGACGCGTGCGATTTAACTCGCAATGGCCCAAAATCTGACCCGGCTTTAGAACATCCATGTGGTAGCGTATGCGCTCCTTGCGCTGCGGCAGATCGCGGAGATCGATGAGTAAATTGCGACCACGACAGAAACGCAGATACCGTGTGCATTCCAACGAGGAGTCCGACAGATATTTGGGCATGCATTGAGGTGTTAGCTCCGAGAGCTGCTGCTGTATGAAACCGAAGTCCGCCTGATAGTAGAAGGTTTGTACCTGTGCCTCCTTGCTCTGCACCCAGCCTGTATGATCGCCGGGACAGTGGGGCGTCTGAAAGCGCGCCTCGGCGCTGCAATTGCGCTCGTGCCCCCAGCAGGCGGGGGACTCCACTCGAATTTCTTCCAATTGTCTTTTGAGCTTGGGAAAGGTGTTGAGGTAGCGTATGAGATGATCGGATGGCAAATTGGGCAGCTTCACCACATCCGGATTGCTTTGGGCAAGTACTTGGCTCAGCTGGAGCACATTGAAGAGTATTAACAATGGCAGCATCCTTACAAGACTATTTTAAGTACATTCGTTTCGTTGACTAAGCTTTCTAGTTGCAGCTCTTCACATTTTCAGCGGCTGCATTTCATGGCCAACAATGGGCAGATGATCTCACTTGCTTGGCTGATAGATGATGATTATGATTTAGTTAATTCCAGCAACGGCAGCCGCCTGCGCCCGTCCATCAAAAAGGTGCGACATGCTAAGACGAAAAAAGAGAGGTACACGAAAACCTGCTTGGGACCAGCAGCTGTCTGGAACAGCTGTTCGATAAACAGGGTGGCCATACCATGCACGATGGTCAGCAAGCACAAGGTTGCCCGCGTAGAGTGCAAATTTGGTAAAACTTGTAAACTGCTCGAAATCAATGAACAGTCCGAATAAGGGAGACTAGACTATCGTATATGTATTACGTAGTAATTAATATAATATCAACAGCTTTCTAATTTGCAATTATTAGAATAACAATAGAAATAATTACACACAATTTTTGCCCACGCTCTGACGTCACACTTACATAAAAAGCTTGACGGCCCATGCTGCCACCTTGTGAAATACGTTAAACATGTGTCTGTGCTGGCAGCTGGTCTCATTGCAAATTACATTTGACTTCTTGAAGGGTATATTTTTTTCAATAGCGTATTAATTTTTTTTATTAAAGCTGGCAATTAAAGCCAGAAAACGCGTTTAATTGCAGAAAACTACAATGCGTAATGTGCCGAAATCGTGAGTATTCGAATGAAATACCATTTTTTAAATTAATATGTTAACATGTCGCATCGCATTTGCCCTACAGACTCGGCCTATTAGTTACAACACCTGGTGGGAGTGCTGCTGGAGGAGCCGCTACAGACGGTGGTATATCGACAAGTGGGAGGCACAATAGCTTAGAAGACATCAATCTGGATCAATTTTTGAAGACCATTAACTATGAGGACACTGTCAAGCAGCTGGACATTTACTATGGCATCGGTAATTAAAAAAAAATCACGCGGAAGCCCAATTCTCTATTAGCTGCACTTGTTTTATATAACCTTGGCGGCGTCTGTGTAGGGCAGCCAATTTAGCATCAATTTGTTGCCACGATGCGACGCAGCGCGTTCTATTTATAAGCAGTTCGCATTGTTTGCCACTAAATAACGGCAGCTGTTTAGCGTCTGCGATTTGTTGCTCTCCTGCTGTCTGCTGTCTTCCCTCTCGCTTACTCACTCTCTCACTTGATCTCCATGGCGAATTAGCGGTTTGTTTATTTGCATTTGTAAACAAAGCCTCAAAACGTTGCTGCGGCATGCGTGCTAAAGCCATTGACACTTGACTAAACCCTAATAAGTAATTTTATCAACAACAAAAATATTTTTGTGCAGCAATCCTAATATCTCATTGCACTCAACAAGCAATGGGATCTATGCAGCGTAAATCTAATGCTATAGAGGGAGATGCCTGCGCTTTTATTTACTATCAATTGTTTTCTCGGCATACGTAATTAGATAGAGGGAGATAACTACATTCCTATAGGGTACTACAACATAATCTTACTTTTGCTTACTCTCAATTACTCTCTCCACATACGTGAGCACTAGCAGAAATTTTTCATACTCCCTTTTGACTCTTACTCTTACCTTTGATTTACTAACTTGCTATACAATTTTTGAGAAGGGTATCCAAGTCCAAGTGTGCTTTAAAGCTAGCACACGCAAACCCCGTTTCATACATGTATTAGCACATCTTTAGTTGTGTGCGTTTATTTTGATGCCTGATTAATCCTAGTTAATTTCTAAATTTTTTTAAAATAGATAGATTGATATATATTCATACTAATTTCAACATTTCTACCACTCTTCCTCCTTTAGTTAAACGTCAACTGCTGCGCTACCAAAGCCCCATCACTGGCTTGTTCCCGGTGATGAGCACCGATCAAGTCGTTGGTTCAGTACGTGACAGTGTCTACTGTGCTTCGGCTGTATGGAGCTTGTATCAGGCATACAGACGCATTGACGATGATCGCGGCAAGTCCTACGAGCTTGGACAGAGCACAGTCAAGTGCATGCGCGGCATTCTGGAGTGCTGGGTGAAGCAGGCAGCACGCGTGGAGCTCTTTAAGCAGCGGCAATCCAATCAGCATGCGTTGCACAGCAAATTCCAATTGCACACGGGCGAAAAGATCTATCCCGATGAGTTCTACAATCATTTGCAAATTGATTGCGTGAGTAGAGAAGTGCAGCAGTTCACACAGGCGTCTCTAATCGAAATCCCTTTCAATTGTAGGTCTCCTTGTATCTGTTGTTCCTGGTGCAGATGATTACATCGGGTCTGCAAATCATTTACACTCACGACGAGGTGGCCTTTGTGCAGAATCTGGTTTACTATGTAGAGCGTGCGTATCGCACACCTGATTTTGGCATGTGGGAGCGCGGCTCCAAGTACAACAATGGCACACCCGAGATACATGCTTCATCCATTGGTATTATTCCTATAAAACTAAAATATTTGATCTGTATTAATCAACTTTGTTTTAGGCATGGCCAAGTCCGCTTTAGAGGCAATCAATGGCTGCAATTTGTTTGGCGAGAAAGGCGCCTCCTGGAGCGTCGTCTACGTGGATATTGATGCACACAATCGCAATCGAAGCATCTTCGAGACCATGCTGCCTCGTGAATCCAGCTCCAAGGCAATACATTGACTAATTACTAAGCATATCAGATCTTTTAAACCCCGTCTTCATTTTAGGGCGTGGATGCATCGCTGCTGTTAACGCTTTCGTTCCCAGCCTTTGCATCGCACGAAGATCGCCTCGTGGAGCAGACTAAACAGAATGTGGTCAATCGCCTGCGCAGCAAAATGGGTTTCAAGCGCTTCACACGCGATGGCTTCCTCAGCAAAGCAGAGGATAAAACTCGTCGCTACTATCAGGCTGGTGAGCTGAAGGAATTCGAGGGTCTTGAATGTGAATGGCCTCTGTTCTTCATAACAATGATCATCGATGGTGTCTTCAAGAACAACAATGAGCAAATTGAGGAGTTTCAAAATGATTTACGTCGCTGTCTGCATACCGATGCAAACGGCGATCCCGTTGTGACCATGTACTATGCGCCCGATGGCGAGGGCTCCTATATGCGAGCCCCCTCGCAATCCCTGTTCCTGTGGGGTCAATCGTTCTTCATCATTGCCCAACTGCTAACAGCTGGACTGCTACACATCAACGAACTGGATCCCATCAGACGCTATTTGCCCAGCTATAATCGTCCAAGACGTGCGGGTCGCTATTCTGCTTTTCAGGTAAGTTAATGGCGGGGCAGGCGGGGCATTTCTCATATATCTTTATACATAACATATATAAATGGCCCGGGTTTAGGGGCTCAGCTAACTGCCAGCGCCGCCGCTGCTGCTGTTTACTGTGTGTCTGCTGTGTGTGTCTGCGTTCGCTGTCTAATTGGTATTCGAATTGATTTGTAATGTTATTTTAATCTCTTTTCTATGGGTTACGTAATTGAATTGGCTACTTAATACTACTTATACCTTAAATATATATATATATATATATATCTTGTCCATTTTTACTACCACATATATATCGAACAATTACTGCTACGAAATCAAAAACCTTATCGTATTATCCACAATCCATAAAATATTTATATTGGTTGGCATACAATATTATAAACAGGGCAAAGCTTTCGATGATAAACACAAAGTAAGTAGTCCCACAAATTTCATAAATTACAAAATTACTCGCACTCAAGTAGATCGTTATGTACGATCTCTACATATATTATCCAAATTTTATGTATACAAAATTTATGCGCTGTTTTTATTAGTTGTTTTTGCACATTAGAATCAAAATTTTGTATCCAAATTCTAATATTTGGCGACACACACACACTAAGCACTGATCGAAATTATGCATATCTATATATATATATACATTGTATATAGATTACATATAAGGCATTTTAACGATCCATCCCAGCAGGAATTTCAATTTTGGGGAATTTTAATTGAAGAGGAAAAGTTCTTAAGAATATGCAGATATGGCAAGATATCATAATATATATCGAAAAGATTTTATAGTAACCAAAAGCTCTCTATATTCCCAAAATTAAGTTACTTAAAAATTCTTTTATATTTAACATGCAAAATAATTAAACTTAAACTTAATAATTAAACAGAACCTTTTAAAATATGTTGAAATTAAAGTGCAGGCCTAAAACTATTCCAGAAAAGCCAGAATTATTTTATTCGCCACTTTTTTAGTGTTGTGTGAACTTTAAAATCAGCTACAGCTGAATTTTGTAATTCATTTTTCATGTCTTTAGGATGTAGATGAAAGAAAGGCATAAAAAATCTATTCTAAATTGAAAAACTTCAGACAAGCAGCACAATAATGTCTTTCATTACTTTTATCAGTTCTAGTAGTATTTTCTAGTAGTATTTTTCTAGAAATAAATTCTAAATAAAATTCTAAAATAAAGTTTTTTAATCAAATTTTAGGTCAAACATATTTGATATATAGAGCGAAATTTGTTCACCACTTTTCCAGAGAGTCTTAAGCATATAATCAGGTACTTTCCCACTTTTTCGTTACATATTCAAAATTTTAAAAGTTTTTTAAATATCTCAAAATTTTCTGGTATAACCCCTATAGTTTATGGCCCAGCGTTTCCTACTGGGATGCACATATACACACACACATACACATAAACTCAAAGTACTTATGCCTATTAGTTATTAAATGTAAAATCAAAAGAAATAATATTTAATTTTGTGGCTGTGTTAATTGTATATAGTGACAATATTTTCCCTCCTCTGCTTATTTGTATCTAAATCAAACAAGTTTTTTCTTTACTCTTTTCGGTACTCTGTTCTTATCTATAAAAAAACAAAAACGAAAAAAAACCAATCTGCATATTTTGTTCCTACACACGCTCTTCTTCTACTACATAAATCCATAGGCTAAACCGGGCACTGTAAGTAATGGTTCACCTAATCTTGGGCATCGACCCGCCTACGTAGTATTCAGTTTGGCTTCTTGTTCCCTAACCGTTATGTACTTAACCCTCAAACAGCAAGCAATTAAATAGTTAGTTTGAAATTGTTTTTTTTTTTTCAATTTTTTTTAACTAATTTTATTATGTTTTGCGGGGCGCTTCCACAAGACTCGAAACCAGTCCGCGCACAAATGAGAAAACTTTAAACACTGATTAAAATCCCTTGTTAAATTATTTATTTCTCTACTAAAAAAAAAAAAAACATAAATTAAAACATAATTATAATAGAATCGACGCGTACCGCTAATATTGGATACCCAGCAGGTAATTTGTGGCTTAGATAATATCAGCGGGTTCTCAATTGTCTCATGCGCATCGTCTAGGCAACAGATTGGCAGTTTAAATGGCAAAGAATTTCCTAAATTTCGTTTTCAATATCTTTTTATCTGTGATAATAATTTACTAAATAAAACAGGGCTGCAAAATCAAAAAATAACAATTAATTTTAAGAGCTTTCAAATGTTAACTAAAAATATACAATAAAAAAAACTAATTAAAAATAAATTTAAAATGTTAATAATTAAATAAACTTAATAATTAATATAATAATATTAATTATTAGATTAGTACATTTATTTAATTTATTTTTGACAAAATAATAAATTTAAAAAATATAAATAAAATATTCTTAAGTGATTAAAAATAAATTAGAACCCAAAAAAGCAATTAATAAAGTTTTAATTTAGTCTAAAAAAGTTTTGCAGCCTTGTATTAATCACAAAAATGATTCTCACATAATAACTATTTTTTTTAATACAAATGCCTGCACTAATTCTGAACAATGTACAATAAAATATTCTTAAATCTTTTTGTAAGTAATTTTTTTATGTTTTTTGTACATTTTGATATGAGTTTTTTTAATTTCTCTTTTAGTGTTTTTGTCTGTGGCATGTTTAAAGTCCTGAACACCTCTTGTCCTGTATGCTCCACACCTTTCCCAGCTCCTCATTCCTCCCTCTCTCTCTGTCTGTCTCTCTTATGTCTGTTACGCTAATTGTTTTTATGCATTTTGGCATTTGGCTAGCATAATTTTTTACACATCCATGTAAAGAATTGGCTCTATGCATTGTCTAACTTCTTAATATCGGAAACTCATGGAGTATACCAGATTTACTAACTGTTCATGACGCTTACAGGGCACCGCCACAGATTTGGTGGTGCAAATCGTGCTCATCGCAGAGTCGATGCGCCTCCAGGCCATGATGGCCACCTATGGCATACAAACGCAAACCCCTCACGAGGTAAGTGAGTGCAGCTCTAAAACGTAAAACATATAATTAATTTCTGTGCCTTTCTTGCAGGTGGAGCCCGTGCAAATCTGGAGCTCCACGGAGCTTATCAAGGTCTATCAGCATTTGGGCGTCAATCACAAGGTCGGCCTCTCGGGTCGTCCCTCGCGTCCCGTCGGATCGCTCGGCACCAGCAAAGTCTATCGCATCTGCGGCATGACTGTGCTTTGCTATCCCCTTATCTTTGAGGTCTCCGATTTCTATTTGTATCGCGATATGGCCCTCTTGATTGATGACATCAAAACAGAGCTGCAATTTGTCGGTAAATATTGGCGTCTGTCGGGCCGGCCCACTGTCTGCCTGCTGATACGAGAGGAGCACATGCGTGATCCACAATTCAAGGAGATGCTCGATCTGCTGGCCATGCTAAAGAAGGGCTACTGCGATGGCATGAAGGTGCGCATTGGCCGACTCCAGAATCTCATCAGCAGCTCGTGCATAGAGCATTTGGATTTCATGAACCAAAGCGATCTGACAGACAACGAGAATGCCTTTTCGCAAATCAATCACGAGTATATAGGCTATCAGTCGCTAACAGATGTGCCCAAGGCGCTGACCTATGTTGAGGAGAAGATCTCCGTGGCCGTGAGTTCAACTTTTCTCCAATCCAATGCCTGAATTAATTTCTGATACTTTAACAGCATTTTGACAGCAAGCCCACGCCGGATATTATTAATGCTTTGCGCAGCACCGAGTCTATCTATTGCCTGTGCCAGCTGTGGGGCATACTACTCAACCGCGAGGGCTCCCACTTCGAGGTGAATGGCCTCAATGTGAGCACGGCTTTGACTCAGCTCTACCATCGGGCTGGTTCGCTGCGCTATTGGCGCGCAGTGCGCTACTGTTCCTCGTTGCTGCACCATATTGTGGACTCGATCAGTCCGTTTATTACCACTGTGCTGGTCAATGGTAAAGAGCTAACCGTTGGCATCATCGGTCAGAAGGAAACGGTCTTCGATAAGCCCATGACTCCAGCGGAGATTCAAAATGTGATGTACACTAGTGTGCAGCCCTATGATGTTATCCAGGCGGTGCTGCAGCAGGAGGTGGTTCTATATTGCGGTCGTCTTATTGCCACCAATCCGTCCATGTTTCGTGGCATATTGAAAATACGCATTGGCTGGGTGCTTGAGGCCATGCGCATCTATTTGCAAATATCTGGACAACAAAGCATCGACGTGGACAATTTGTCGCCGTTCCAAGTGCGCATTCTCCTGCAGAAGGTGCTGACAGTCAGCGAGTGGGCAGTGGAAGAAAAGTATATACATTGGCTATAGAATATATCAATGGTCTTACTATATAAACTTTATATATCCCTCGATAGGCTCACCACGTTGCAGCGCCGACAGCTGGAGGGTTGCCTGTGCCGCGTGCCCAAGCACTTCTATAACAAGATCTGGGAAATATTGCAACGCACGCCACAGGGCATTTTGACACAGGGACATCATCTGCCTGCCACGCCCACACTGACGAGCATGAGTCGCGGCGAATTGACGTTCAATTTGCTGGTAGAAGAGACGCTAATCTGCATCGATCGGCCCGAGCGGCGACAGATAACAGTTGAGCTGCTTTGCATTGTGGCCACCATTCTGAATCGGTAAAAACAAATCTTAAAATGAAAAGTTAAGACTGAACACTAATATTTGCGCTTCTTAGCAATCCGGAGCTGCATTTCAAACAGGCGCTTGATTTGGATGGCATCATTGCCGAGGCCTTTGCCATGTACTGCAAGGACAACAATATCCAGCAACAGCCCAAGTTGTCGGAGCAACAGGGCCAGCCCAACAAGCAGGAAGATCTGACCGCCTTCTATTCGCTGCCCTATTCGGAGACCACCGGCTACTTAGCCCGTGCCGCAGTTAATAAAGTCCTACAGGGCGGCGTCTTTTCCACTGCCGAGGACGATGTGCAGCTCGACGGCGATCATTTGCATGATGACAATTGCAAAGTCTCCTAAGATATTTTACTTAGCTTTTGTACATAGCAATGTTTTGCATATCTTTGTTGACCAAAAAGGAAAAATACTTGTACCACTATCCAAAGTAATTCGAATTTTATAGCCTATTCTGTTTTGATTTCAATGTGTGCCACTTATTCATCTTTTTGTCCAGTTAGTTTTTAATTAAATGTTATCTATATAAATAATACTGTTTGTTCTCACTGATTTGATGTGCATAATAACTTAGCTACAAATACTAAAGAACCGCACAATGCCGGGTTACAGCTCTTATTCTGCTTTGTTACAAACCACAAAAAATCGTTATATTTGCTTCGCCTGTACTTAGTTAATAGGTCAGTTGCAAGGTTCTTTTTGTGCAAGCCTCTGGCAAATCTGTTTGACTCGTCAAGCCCTGCAGTTCGGCTTTATGCAATGCCACCGGCCAAGGTGTATCGATTATGTGCCAATGCACCCCGATTATATCACCTGCAATCCGAGGTGGGGCTATAAAAGGAACGCGTTCGTTGCTCACTCTGTTTACTACGTTTGCAAAGCTTGACGATTCAGCATGCGCGCGCCAGAGTGGATGAGCACTGAAATGGCACGGCTCACGTCCAAGCTGGAACGCTATAAGCCCATAGGCAGTGGCTACAATCGCATACAATCCATACGCCTATCCAAGAGCGTGACACAAATGCTCAACAATCCATTGCCCAGCGCTGCGACTCGCGTCAGCACAGTCAAAGCCAGTCAAAAGCCATCGAGGGACCACCAGGAGAGCTCCTTTACGACTCCCAGGCGACGTGGTGTGCTCAGTCGCAGCGAGTCCCAATGGGAGGAGGTCTATCCAGCCATCAAATTCAATCGCCAGCAGAGCAATGAGAGTGCCAACAGCCTGGACAGCAGCGACAGCAAATTTATGCACTATCGCAATTGCTCAACGCGCATCACCTGAACGAAGTATGACGAAAATTTATCTAAGGATTTTATATTATTTATAAATTTATGCTAAAAAAATTCTATTTATATATATAAATGTTAGTTTCTTGAATAAATGGTATTCTGATGTTTTTAAACAGTACGGAATCGCCAAATAAGAAAATGCTTTAAAACGATTTTGATCAATATTTAAGAAATCGAAATATAAGTTTAAGATTGGCAATCTCTTGATCGTAAAGGAAGGAAAGCCCAAAGAGTAAGTCCAGGGGTAGACTTTATAGATACCTCTGCTCTGACTGAAACATATACAATTTCTTTACCTCATTTTAAACTTTTTAAAAGATTAATATAATAAAGCATAACTTTGAAGTAAGTCGTCAATCATTTTTGAAAAATATATCCAAGTTATTTAAAGCAATCAGATCTATCTATTTAAATATTAAAGACTCTCAATATGTGCAGCTTTAAATTTTAAATAAATTTTCAATTTAAAAAGCTTTTACTTTTTATAAGTCTTGAAGTTTCAAAAGGTCTTGATTTTTTAAAATAATAATTCCAGACTATTTAAGGTAGTCTTTACGATTTATATGTCTATATCTAAAGGGCTCAATTCAACCTAAAAGAGCTGCGTTACTTCAATTTTTTCTATAACAAAAACTTTAATTTTTCGAAGCTCTATTTGTATTCAAGTGAGTTTAATAATCTTAAATTAGATACATTTATTTATTAAATAGTTCATTTAAGTTTTACATTCAATTTGTTCGTTGCTTGGTACAAAAATTAGTTTAAGTTTTTCTTCTCTGATTTGTTTTTTTTTTACATTTATGAATTTAAATATATATAAAATAACATGTTAGTTGGCGTGTGTGTGTATTTAAACTATAGCTAATTGGAGATTGCCTACTCGAGATACATATGCATATGTATTTAGTATGCAGGCAAAGTAGATACACTTCGACTTGATTTAATTTCATTTGAAGCCTTTCATTTTGATATGAAGCAAATGATATTTTGCGATATTACAAAGAAAAAACATGTGATATATATGATATGCCTAGAAATAAATTCAACGCTCCTATATATATATGCAAACATACACAGAGATAGATCTATATATATATATATAGTTTTTAGTCTATAACAAACATACAAATACATAATATCATTTTGTTTAAGGCAACATAAATACAAATTCAATTTGAAGCTTGCGCACACGACACGAATTTACATATGATATATGACATTCCATTATATTATATATATATATTTTTTTTATATATATATGTATATAAAAACATTTTGCTTTATGTTTGAACTTATGCAAATAAGTTGAATGCTCTTGCATGCATAGTTTAATTATTAGTTTTTCGTTTTGTAAAATGCTAAAAATCCCTGAATATGAGTTCTCATTATTATTATAATAAATATTTTCATTAGAGTTTATACACATATACGTATTTATGACTTAGTTATTTAACTTAGGCAAAAACTCTATCAATTCGTTTAGCTAGATTTATCGTTATTCGTTTCTGTTTCTTTTAATTAACAACACATTTTGCTTAAAATTAGTTTTTAGTTACAATTCCTATATAGTATGCATAGATCTGTATTCTATGCCCTATGGAACATTTTTACACACGGCAGTACTTGACAAAATTTAACTACGTACACAGAGTAATTAACTGTAAGTGTATTTGATGTGTGTGTATTGGTGTCTCTCTTGTATATGGTGTCTCTCTAACTAATCGCTGTATAAATTTAAAAAAGGACTATGAAACCTACGTTAACGCAATCTTTCTATATATATATGTATATATATATATATATATATATATATAAACGTACTTAAATATACGGAAACAATGGGCTAATTAAACTCAAACATTTAGATTAGACCTATGTTATTGTTGCTGTTGCTGCTGCTGTTGTTGTTGTAGTTGCTCAGGTCGACGCACACTCATGCGGCTGGGTATGGAGTCGGTATCGCCATCATCATCCATATAATCCTCCTTGGGACGGGTCCATTTGATTAACGTTTCGGGCGAGCGATACAGGAAGAGCAATTTGGCAAACAGATCCTCCTCCAAAGCAAATTCCAGAGCCTCTCGCACCTGCAAGGCAAAACAATTTAGAGTTTTGATGCACAATTTACAGGTATTAGTGACTCACTAGGTATATATCCAGACACAGCTGTAGTACGCGGTCCACATAGGGCAAGTCCTCAAACATGATTTTGCGATTTTGGCCGCCAATGAAGGACTTCATAAAGCGCGAGGCCAATAACACAAATGTGGTATAGAGACCAATGATGCTGTAGAGAGATGGGGAAATATATATTAGATATGTGGACATATGCTTAATAGAGTCAGTCAATCATCACTCATCAGTCATCAGTCAATTAGTGTCGACTCACCCGCCAGCTGTTAGAAAACTGAAAGTCGATGGGAATTTCTTGTCATTGAACGTGTACATAACAATGCCCGAGCTGCAGTTGCTGTAGGCCAAATCCTTCAGTGTCGTATTGTAAAAGTTGTCATAGCAAAAGTCGCGTATCTCCCACCACAGGCCGTTGGTAGCCTTATCGCGGTGCATTTTAATGACCAGCGGCCGGTACTCCTGCTCCTTGCCACTCAGCACGGTTACGACGAAAGCGTCGCCCGAATTGAGCACCTTTATGAACTTGGGTATCATATTCGGTAGCACCACCACGACTTCGCTGGCATTGCCACTTGAATTTGAATTGGTGGTATTCGCATTGAGGGTGTCATTAGCATTGGTGGTGCCATTGGCATTGCTGGTATCATTGGCATTGCTCTTGCCATTGGCCTGCAGCTGCTCATAGGTCTCGTTAAGCATATTAATGAGCGCAGCGCGTCCCTCAAATGTTTCGTCCAGCTTGATAATATGCTCATCGCCCACATTCTCCTTGAGACCCTTCGCAGGCGCCTTGCGGGTCAGCGAATAGGAAAATCGCGCAATCAGAGTATGATCTACAGGGAATATACATGTGTTAGTTGAGAATGCCAGCTTTGCATAGGCAAAACTTACTGTTTCGTAGATCATTCGTCAAGCGCTCCCTATCCGGCGGAGCTATGTTCCACAGCGAAGGTGAATTGCCGGCCAGCTTGACCGCAGCTACATCCGTTGCATCATAGCCAGCTATGAAGGTCAAGGCTTGTTTGTTCTTGATAAAGGCATTCGTCATTTGGCCATACATTTTGGAGTCAATCTCGAAGATGCTATCATAGTTATTTGTCGTATAGATGGGATCGTAGGGACCAATGCGTATGGATAAGGACACTTGATACGGCACATTCGAGGTGCCCACTGCATTGCCCAGCGCAAACAGACAGAGTGGACCCCAAATACAGATGACAATCAATAGGACAATCGTGCCACCCATTATCAATTTAGAGAGCGAAGCCTTCTTCTGTGCGCGCATTGCCGGGAAGTCCGTCTCGGATTGCCGTGTGCAGCGTATGAGATAGATATTTGAGAAGATGTCCTCCATTTTGAGCCAATCGAAGATGGTCATGGTGCTATCAATGCACACCCAATCGAGAATGGTGCGCAGCTCGTAGAGGAATGGTATTTGCATATAAACCTTGAACGCAATCATATTGACCATCGAGAAGCCCTTGGTGAAGAAGTTGCCCAGAATGCGCTTCGGATAGCCCGACTTGATCTGATACGAGCTCAACAGCATATAGAAACATTTGATCACGTAGAATATAATCGGCGGAGCGAGCGAGTTGAATGTGCGCTCCGTCACCGCTGGCACCACAAAGAACATCCAAATATGAATGCCAATCACGGAGAAGAAATGGAATATGATCTTATTGACCAGGGCTTTGCGCAAGTACAGCGCACGATCGATGACAATCAGCAGGAATTGCACCAGCAACATGATCAGGAACGGCACAGGCACTTTGTTCTCTGCCAAATAGGTTTGGACGCCGCCATCGCTTTCCGTTTGTTGGGTCTGTAAAGAGGAAAGCGCGTATTGGACGAGCTTCAAAGGAAAAGTACTTTAACTAGGACTCACGCCAAATGCTGTGAAGCCAAAGAGCAGCACGAAGAAGTTGACAAAGTCGCAAAGGAACATAAGAGCATAGACATCGGTAGCCAGTCGGGATTTGTGCACCAGGCTGAAGAAGAACTTGTGCAGCGACGAGGTGTACTTGGTGCGTCTGTGGGGGGAGACAAAAGAGAGATTAATAAAACTTGTCTAGCTCTAACTCTGAGCGCTGCTTACTCCAATTGATTGATGGCCGACTTGCTATATTCCGGCGAACCAGGCAGCGAGACCTGGCTAACCTGTAGGCTAAGCTTCTGGGCGGCGTCCTCGTTAAGCTGGCGCGAGTCCGGCTGTGACATATTATCGCTATCCTCGCGATCATCGCTGGCAAAAGAAGAAAGAACAAGTTGAGTCAAGGAAGGAAGAGAGCCACAACGGCGCCGACATTCACTCACATGCTGGCCGTGGGCTTAGCAAACTGTTGGTCAGTATCCTTGTAGCCGGACTTCCACAGACCCTGCGACTTGAGCAGATAGCGATGCAGGAACAGTACCAAAAGCAGTATCAAATCATAGACAGCATAATGCGTCTTCATCTCAACGCCAAAGATCTTCGCTGTAGTCAACGGCTGATTAATCAGATCATGGTAATTGGCCCAGATCAGCTTAAACTGGAAGATGCACTTGATCAGCACAATCGCTTGGGTGTAGGCAATCAGGGTGACCCAGAAGGTTTTCGTGGGACGCGGCAGCGACAAAGTGCCCCAAAGGAAGACCATAATGGGCAGAGGCAACGAGATGACACTGGCGTTGACAACCTGAAAGGAACGAGCCAAGATTTAACATCAATTGAATCATGAATTCCAGTGCGAACTCACCTGATTGATGAACACCACAATGTAGCATATGAGATCCGTGTTGGCCAGCAGCGCATACCACGAGGAGATGAGCACCTCGACAATGATATGATGATCCCGCTGAGCAAAGTTCTCCTCCTCCAGGTTAAAGTCACCCGCGCTGCAATTGCCCAAAACAAGAATTAGACGAGGAAAGATCGAGATTTAGATTGAACTAAGAATTTCTTTAGAGGATTAGCAATTCGCATGCCTGGCTGCTAGGTGCGGAACCTGTGCGCTGCATGCGACGCACGCTACGTGGCAGTGTGGGTGTGCAGCGATCTCACGAGATCGTCAGAGACGCTCAACTTATAACTCTGGGATTATTATTATAAAGCCACAAACAACAACAAATACATACATACATACTAGCAAATAACGCACAGAGAGTGGCATGGACTTGAATTAAAGCGGATGCAAATCGATTAGTTATAGACAGCCACAGACATATATATAGTAGAGGTATATGTATAGATAGAGAGAGAGAGAGCGTATTAGTTGGTTAGATAAAGAGTGATGCAGCGCAGTCGCAGGAGAATTTGTGAGTTGAGGCTTACGGGATGTCAGCTGTGGCTTGGATATATGCCTAGATATATGCTACATCTGAATTTTAGCAGATTTGCAATGATTGACATTGATAAAAATGATCAGCAATAAGCACAAGTCAGAGTGCTCTGTGCGGGAGTGCCCGACTAGGAAATACCTTGAGCACTGATACAGACTTGGCTAGATTGACTCAGCTCTTCGCTCTGTTCTAGAAGTTGTACGCTTTCCACTACTAAACACATATATAGAGCTGTAGATCTGGACAGCTTTAGTTCTACAGAATTGCTTATGAAGTCATGAAGATCACATTTGATCAAGATAACTTGAAAGACTAATAGATATTATATGACCTATGTGGTTTAATCTAACCTGTTACGTCATGCAATCAGTTGATATAGATGCTAATTTAGAGATTTAGTAAAGTCAAATCTGATCAGAAATCTATAGAAGTTATACAATTTAAAACGAGTTTGAAGAGCATATGAATTATTGCTAGCAAAAAGTTCAGCAGAATAACAAATTCAGCTTCGACTGCCTCTGCAACTCTTAGAGTTATAGCAAACAGATAGGTATTATAGATAGTTATATATAGAGAGATGAAAAGAGTTACGATGAGCGTGTTCCATGTGTTCAGGCTGAGTTATAGAGTAACGTTAGGCACAGTAACAACAGCAACAACAGCAACAACAGCAACAACAGCAACAGCAACAGCGCTACGAGTACTTGCAACTGGTTGATGAAGAATACTTTAGAGTAGTCAGCGTGTGTATGTGTGTGTGTGTGTGTGAGTGTGACGAAGTAGGCGTGGTCAATACCTGTCCACGTGCTCGTAGGACCAGTGTTTGCTGAGCGAACCCGAACCAATGCTCGCCTGCTGCTGATGAAGCGCTGGATAATGATGAGGATGATGTTGATGATGAAGGGGCGTGTGCGACGGCTGAGGCGGTGGCGGCGGCGGCGGCAGCTGTTGCTGCGCGCTGCGCTCAATAGATGGCGCTTTAATACGTATTTCTGGTAGGCCGCAGTCCGATTTGCGGCTATATAGAAAACACCAAAAGGCAGACAATAGTGGATGGCATGTAGGTGTGCGTGTGTGTGTGTGTAGGTGTATGTATATGTGTGTGTATATTTGTATTTGTATTGTATCAAAAATGCACAGTTATAATAGAGATGAGATACGAGTAGTAGAAACGAAATATTTGCTCAGTAATCGAGTATTAGAGGTGTTATATAAGTAGAGCCTTAAGAGAAATATATATATATATATATATGGATCGCATGTATATGTATTTCTGTGTGTGTATGTTATACTTAAAATATCGATGTCATATATGTAGAAATTTACTTACCCCTTGGTCGGCGGCGATGAACTGATTGATTGTTTTCTATAAACACAAAAGTTTTTCAGATGAATCAAAATGCGCGCATAAAAAATGGCAAAATGTAAGATAAAAAATATAAAGAAATTAGTTAAGATTTTCTGTATAATTTTCGGGTCAATAATAAGTGTGTTGGAGTTTCAAATGTTATTAAATTTTATTCTTTTCGAAATTAAAATGAAATAAATAAAAAAATTAAAGTTTCTTGATCAAATCAAAGCGTTATGCATGAGCTACAAATTACAATTGATATTACTATATGTACGACATATACATTAAGAACAGACCACAGTGAAGCACATGGGAATATGGGATTTTGGATAAGCTTGACTTGTTAATACCCTATAACTACTGCAAGAATACATCAAATTTACACTGAAGCACATAAAAGCTGATATATCATACAATAAGCGCATTAGCTTTACAACATGGAGCTATGATATTTGCTCGACTTATTCGAGTTATATTTAAATTCAAGAAGAGTTTAATATTTAAGAGCTGCTGATTATGACAAAATCGTTATAAGACACGCTGCTGATGATAACATTGAAATGAACTATGTATAGAGGTAGAGTATGCTAATTAACAGCAGCTTTATATAGCATTAAAATGCTATTAACATGGCTGTAGACTATCTGACACAGCAGTCAGTAATCGTATTGACAGAGTACGCTAATTAACAGCTGCTTAACATAACATTAAAATGCTATTAACATGGCTGTAGACTCCCTAACATAGCAGTCTGCTGGTTAACAACAATAACGGTATTAACAGCTGCTTAACTAACATTAAAATGCTATTAACATGACTATTAAATATGTAGAGTAGACGTAGAGTATGCTAACAGCTAACAGCTACTATGCTGTTGCAGCTGTTTAACATAGCAAGAAAATGCTAATTACATGACTGTAATAATAATTGTTCATTTGCAAATATTTGAGGAATATAGCAAATTAACAGCTGTTTAGCTTAGCAGCTATAAGCAACTGCTGTTTACTAACAAATACTTAACATAGGAGTCTGATTTTTTTAGTAGCCTATGTACTTGAGTTAGGCTAATTAACAGCTTGTTAACTTAATATTTAAGTATTCATTTTAAAACATGACTGTTTACTGAGTAAACCAATCATGTTTAATGCTTAAGGCTTTCACGGACAGCTGCTAACATAAGCAAAATAACATTTATTACTATGCCAACTCTATGTGACTTCGAAACAAAGTATAACTATAAAAAACAAAGTATATATAAATAAAGTATATATAAACAAAGTATATATAAATATATATTTATATATGATTAATATACTATAACCAAAACGTTTGCTTAGCTCTTCTAACTAGGGCTTCGTTTTGTTGGGTTTATAGGGTATGTTAGTGGTTAGGTTTTATTGGTTCTTTTCTGTTTGGTGTTGATCTTTGTTTTACCTAGAGATTGCTGCATCAACGGTATCTACGGGCAACTCGATGATATCTTCGACAGCGTGTGATTGTTGGTGGGGCGTACTGGTTGCTGGCGTAACGTGTGCTTGTTCTGGCGGTGTGAGCGGTGTGATTGTTGCTGTTGTGTCAAGTGTTGTGCTGGTGTGATTGTTGTCTGTAGGTGTGACTATTGTTTCTGTCGTCGTTGTTGTTGTCATAGCCGGCAGTGAGCGACGCGGTGTAGATGATGAAGCTGGCTCATCACTAATATCAAAAATATTCATAAAGAAATAAACACAATGATCACGCAACATTTGATGTGAGAGATGTGAGAGATGTCAGATGAGTCGGTTGTTGTTTGTTTTGTTTTGTTTGTGTGTTTGTTTGTTTGTGGAAGCAGTATCAAACACACGTAACACAAAAGGAAACATATGCAAATAAATAAAAAGAGAGAAAAAAATAAATGAAATCAATTTGTCAGAATAGTCAACACAAGCTCGAACGGAACATTTGAACAAAATCGAAAAAGAAATTATACAAATATAAATACAATTTATAGTTAGGGTAGTTAAACGCAAGCGGCGCACACGCCCATTTAAGCCTAAACGCCCACTAAATACCTCTCGAGATTCGATTTCAGAAAGTGGAACATGGCCGCGGCGCTGGATATGCCCAAACGATTCAGCGAGCTGGATTCCTGGCGAGAGAGAGAGAGAGAGGGGCAGGTTAGTTAGGCAGCTACAGTGAGCGCTCTACATGTCGTACATACCTTGAGTGTTTTCTTCTCGCCCGCCAATATTCGATTGACAAAGCGATAATTGCGCGAGAAGCGATTCAGGCGTATGGTCAAGGTAACCAAAAAGCCCTCCAGCAAACGTATAATGGGATTCGTATCGAAGTCCTCATCTGAATCCTTGGCCGTCACATCGCCGCTATCCGGTTCCATCTTCGATTTGCTATCCGAGGTCTCCTTGGAGGCGACTGGCGCTGCCGCAGCTGGCAAATCGGTAGTATCCTTGGCCAGCTTCGCGGTGCTCGTCGTGCCGGCAGCATCGCGCTCCTTGGAGACGCCTTTGCTGGTCGACGGAAAGAAATCTGTGGGCGCATCCTTTGATTTCTGTGAGAGCAGAGGAAATAAATAATAAATTATAATAATAGACAAGTTTATGTTTTATAAAATGAAACAACATTGAGCCAAGTTAACGAAATTAAGCTAATGTATAGAAAATTAAGTAAAAATTTTGCACTCGAGCGCCACCGACTGCACAATACTCGTTCACGGCGCAAAAAGTGTTAGATATATCGATCATATAAATTATAGGTAAATCTGCGAAGATGAGGCTAATTCAGCAAGTTGGTGATCTCCAAAGCCCATGTGGCCCAACCCCAGCGAATGTGGCTATATCAGTTTATCTTTATAGGATCTCAAAGGTAACTCAAATGTCAAATTTTATGGCTCTAGATCTGAAATACTGCAACAAGCAGCCCAAAAAGGTAAAGATATATCTACTATATATTTTTGGTCTGGCGTAAACTATCAGAGAGTAGAGTTTCACTTTCAAATTTGAAGTTTCTAGCGTCCTAAATAAAAGTATATGCAACATGTGCCACGCCTCTAATGAGCATATTGGATAAATCATGTGACTATAAGTTGAGGCTAGCAACAAGTATTTGTTACAAGCTGCAAGCTGCAAAGTTCAGAAAGGGTTTACGCTCCTACAGTCAACCAGATGCACATTACACAAAACCAATATACTCCTTTGACTAAGTGAACGAGTATAAAAATAATATATATATATATATATATACAAAAGTTGTTGTATTTGTACAGTATATATAGTTTTATATAGTAAAAGTGAGTGCGCCAACAGTTGTTGTTGTTGTTGTTGTTGTAGTTGTTTGCAGCGCATTTAAAAATTCGTGATCAAATATATATAGTTAGATAGATATAGCAAATGCTGTACGATAAAACACTTTGCTGAACAGGTGCGCCAATTAAAGGAATTTCTTTTTGCTGCACACTCACAACTGCCTCTTGGTCAGAGGGACATGGGGGCGGCGTTTGCGCATCGAGCAGCATCTGGCTGCGACGCCCGAAGTCAAGCGGCTCGGAGAGCGTCGAGGTGCGTATACCAACATCGCACTCGATGGTATCATCATCGTCAGCGTCGTCATCATCGCCGGCAACAGCGGCGTGCTCTGTCAGCTCATCCCGCTCGTCCAGGCTATTGGCTGCCATATCCTTGAGTGCTATGCGGGAGCCCGGCTCGGAGGCATACGAACGCTCGCGCATATACAAATGGCGCCGATACTCCGCATCGTTCAGATCCTTCCAAACCTTTTGTTTTCGTGTGTTTTGTGTGTGGCATTAATGTCAGATTGTTGGAGGATGGCGGAATTTATAAGGGAATTTACAACAGATTAGGGGAATCAGTATAGCCAAGGCTGCAAACTGGACTTAAGCGAACTAATGCGATTCATTGATGACAATGACAATGACAATGACAATGACAATGACAATGACAATGACAATGACAATGACAATGACAATGACAATGACAATGACAATGACAATGACAATGACAATGACAATGACAATGACAATGACAATGACAATGACAATGACAATGACAATGACAATGACAATGACAATGACAATGACAATGACAATGACAATGACAATGACAATGACAATGACAATGACAATGACAATGACAATGACAATGACAATGACAATGACAATGACAATGACAATGACAATGACAATGCAATGACAATGACAATGACAATGACAATGACAATGACAATGACAATGACAATGACAATGACAATGACAATGACAATGACAATGACAATGACAATGACAATGACAATGACAATGACAATGACAATGACAATGACAATGACAATGACAATGACAATGACAATGACAATGACAATGACAATGACAATGACAATGACAATGACAATGACAATGACAATGACAATGACAATGACAATGACAATGACAATGACAATGACAATGACAATGACAATGACAATGACAATGACAATGACAATGACAATGACAATGACAATGACAATGACAATGACAATGACAATGACAATGACAATGACAATGACAATGACAATGACAATGACAATGACAATGACAATGACAATGACAATGACAATGACAATGACAATGACAATGACAATGACAATGACAATGACAATGACAATGACAATGACAATGACAATGACAATGACAATGACAATGACAATGACAATGACAATGACAATGACAATGACAATGACAATGACAAGAATGATGAATACTGAGAAGAATAATGACAATGAGAAAGCTAATGACAATGACAATTTCAATGATAATAAATATTAATATGATAGTTTTAATAATAATGATAATGATGACTTCATGAGGCAATTCCAACTTCACAAAATCAAACCTAAGAGCGATATATTGGTTTGCAGCCATGGTATAATATATGTATTTCTATATATTAGGAACATGCATAGATCATGCTATTCATTATCGATATATATAACTAGTTTACTCCATATTCACTTCAAGCTGAAAAAGAAACGAATTCTTAGAGTACTTCACTTACATCGTATAGAGTCTTGCGTCGCTGCATTTTCATCTCACTCTCCGTAATGTTCTCCTCCTCGAGGAAATCGATTTCATCGTGTATTAGATCCAGCTCGAATTTATCATCCATTTCCTCAAACATATAATAATCGCCGGCACGAGTAGCTTTGGTTGTTTAAGAAGGATAACATTGTTAGATTCGGGAATTGAACAAATCTTAAGGCTAGTGACAACATTTATAGATGGTTAACAATTAGATCGGCTAAAGTATGATTAAATAGGATTATAAATATTATATTTTACAGAGAAGTTTAGAGCAACATTCATGCAGCTTAGAGAACCACATATATAGCTGTATATATAGTTAGGATATGCTAATAGATTATATACAAGGCAAGGCAAAATCTCCAGCTAGATGTTAAATATATGTTTTATGGGGTTTTCTTCTTAGATGATAGAAATCAAGCACAACAAACAAAATCAAAAATAAACTTTACCATGTGGATGCAATTTAATTTCCTTCCTTCTGCGTACTGTTGGTGCAGGAAGTGGATAACCATGGTCTATAATAAAATCACACGCACACAGATACATATGAGAAAATAAAATATAAATGATATAAATAAATGATATTGTAATTAAATTATAATTATACAAATTGTATTATTATTCGGCTTGCCGAAAGTTCTTTAGTTAAAAAACTTTGATTTAAATAAACGTCATATATAGTTTGCTTTATACATAGATCATATATAAAACAAATCTGATTAATCATAGTATCTTGATCATTTTTTTATATATTTTTTTCTTATCAAAGCTCAATTGAGCTAACAAAATTTTAAAATAATTTGTTGATTAAATTTTTAAGCTTAAATAATTTTTCATAATATTTTAAGGCTGAGAATCACATAGAAGGCCATTGTCAATGAGAAGCAAATAGAAAGCCAATGCCGAACAAATTTAACTAAAATTATATATCAAATTAAAAGCCAAAAAGAATTTTTAAATTTAAATTAAATTTAAAAAATCTTTTTTTAATTTTAATATTTTCAAAAATAATTTTTCAATTCAAAATAATATTATTAAATTTTTGGTATGAAAAATTGTTTATCTATTAATTTTTTAATAATAAAAAAATTGTTTAATCTTTGGGTTTTTAAGCACACTGTAGCAAAAGCATAAGAAATATTTAAATTATTTAGAAGAAATTTGAGTATCAAAGTATTTTTCAGTAGTAGAAAAACATGGAGAAGAAGTTGGAGTCTCAAGAGTCTTTCAAGATATTTAAATAAATTATAGACATGTTTTATTTTACACTTGTATAAGCGCGCATAGCTCTGATAACGCTTCAGGCATTGATTGGGCAAATCAATGCAGTATATGTAGCTATAGATATATATTATTAAAGTAAAACCTCTAGAAAAAGTGTTATTTACATATGTAGTTGGGGTTTTCGTCTTGCTTGAGACCTGCTACACAGGAGCTCAATAAATTTTATTGGATCACGCACATTGAACAAAATGTCTTTGTACAGGGTTTTCATCAACATAGAAAAAGTAATTTATGAATAGGAATGAGAATAAGATTCATCCAATACATGGTCCATGCAGCAATGCGGGCTCATAGAAGGCGCACATCAGCGACTCCATATGGTAGGCCGTACCAACGGGTCCCCAGCTATGCGGACGCTGTGCAGCACTTAATGCCGCCTCGTCCCGGGCGCCAGACAAATTGCTGGAACGCTGCACACGTTGTGCCTCATCCAAGGAGTAGTTGGCATTGCCCATGCTCAGATGACGGCGATGCAGAGACTTATCTCTCATAGTAACCAGCTCCTCGCGCTCCGCCGACTGCGAGACAACAATTGGAGAGTTATCCCTGCTGTTATCTAACTGCTCGGGCAGCCAAATCTTTACCACATTTTGCTTGAGGGGCGAACGCTTGATGGACACCGTTTCGTTCCAGGACACAGCTGCATTGGTGGACGACTGTCGACGATGCTGGCGGCGCAAATTGGGCGTCAGATTCGCCGAGCTGCCCGCACTGGAGGCCAAAGCAGTGGCATAGGATGCCAGTGGTGGCACCAGGGTTTGCATGTTCAATTGTGCACTTTGCTCCGACGGCGCCAGGCCCAATGAGATGCGCTTGGGTTCCAGAAAACCTTCCGTTAGCAAAGCTGAAAGCGCGTCCGTGCTGGGCGTGTTGGGCTTCGAGGAAGGCAAGGTACAAGTTGAAAATGTGACACAATACCCAAGGACAGCACTTACAGGGCTCCGATGTTTGATCACTGGCAAATGCTCCTCACTCAACGACTGCACATCCACATAGTTCAGCTCCTCCTCGCAGGGCATTATGTTAATCTCCGGCTCTATAATGACAGCTGCATCTGCGCTATCCACGCTCTCGGCGCTGCTGCTGCTGCTGTGACTCGACATCACGGAGGGGCGCGCTGGCGACGATGTGCCCGAGCTCGAGCTCGAGCTACCGCCATCTGGCGTCTGATAGCCCGAGCCTTGGCAGGAGACAAAGCTGCTCTGATGCGCCAGAGGCGCCTCCTCAGCCAAGCTCTGCTCTAAAGGCGTGCGTCGCCCTTTCGATTCAAGCCGGAATTAGAATTACACAAACACAAACACGCGCGATAAAAACCAAATCGAGCCGGCAATTTCCACAGTACAAAATACAAAAACAAATGGAAAATTGCAACGCGACAAAAGAACAGACCGAGTCCAAAAAGGAATTCCAATGCAGCAAATCCAAAGATGACTTACCATCGAAGTGCGTTTGCTTGTCCAGTGGACGCAGCATCTTCTGCTGCGTAGCTCGAATGCGCTCCATTTTCCGCTTGATCTTGTGCAGCACCTGCTTCTCATGATCGTGGCGATGGGCAATTTGCTTTTGCCTCAGTCTCTCAATAATGTCCGCACCTCTGCCAAAGACGAACAAACATGAGTAAACCAAATGCAGATATATTTAATAATCAAGTCTATCCACCTGGAGGCGAGTATATTATTGGCCTTTGTGTCTGTGATGATGTGGCAGAAGTAATGCGACTTAAAGATGCGCAGCTGAAATATAATGAAAGCAAAGCAAATGGCATCCCACAGGAGGACAACTTGATGCGTGATCTTGGGGCATTCATTGGGTCCAATGGACAAGTCCGCATCCTCGCCCGGCATCAGCTCCTGATCGTTGATCACATTGCTTGTGCAGGTGATGCCCAGCATATGCACCAGCCAGCAGCAGTTGGTGGTCAACGGCGTCATAAACAGGCAGCCCGCCATTTGAATGCTCGTCTTGATTACGATGTTGGTCACATTGAAAGCCAGCAGCCATTTCCAGCGACTGATGATTGTGTTGATGGGACGCAAATAGAAATCAGAGCCTTGCCACAGGAAAATAAACGCGCCAATCAAGTAGCCAAGAGCCAGTAGATCCGCAATATTTGTGCCGGCCAAAAAGACCACAGCCAAGGTGAACCAGTAGAAGCCACACAGCACGCCGTTTTTCAATATATCCGAATAGTTTCGTATGTACGAGCAGAAGTCATGGGTGGGATTGTCAAAGGGCACTCGTCCCAGCTGTGCAATATCGCCAATAACGCTGCGATTGCTGCCACCGGGATAATCATCGTTCGTGGCGTAGCGCTGCTCGATGCAGAAGATGCTCTTCTGGCGATTCAAAATGATGAGCACAATGAAGTCGAAAATGAGCTTGGGCACATGATTGAAGTGTAAGGCGCCTGGCAGCATGGTCCAGCGTTGAATGCTCTCGCCAAAGGCGCCCTTATCCCAGGGATAAACTGCAAGGAGCACAAGAGATTAAAATGATGAATTGTCAAAGCAAGTCAAAGACCTACCCATGCACATGCTTGGTGGCAGGCCCACTAGCACAATGTACTGCAGCAATATGGAGATGGCAAAGAAGGATTGGAATATGCCCCACATCTTGGCACACTGCGAACGCTTCAGCAGCAACAGGACTACTAGCCACATGGCATAGACCACAGCCACAATGTCCTGTCGATACGTAATGGTCGACACAAGCGCAATCAGCGAGATCTCAATGCCGAATTTGTAAAAGCCAAAGTTAAGCAAATACTTGACTAGGCCAACCAAATCCTGTTCAGCATCGGCACGTGTGATATTCTGGAAAAGCAGCTTCGGCTGATTGGCCACGTTCTCGCCAATCTTGACGCGCATCTGCAGCTGACGCAGCGAGATGACCGCGTGCATGGTCACAATCACCATGTAGATAATGTAGGTGCGCAGCAGACTCATCAAGCCGCCCTCCACCTTGCTCGCTTTGGTGAGACCGATCCACTCGGCATTATTAGAAGTGCGATTGTCGGACTGGAAAGGCATACAAGTTTCATATAAGTAGAAGGTCCAAACAATTGCGATCAGTCAGGAGAGGCACTCACGCAGCTAACGTTATATTGCTTGTGATCCAAATATTCAATTTGATATATCATCTTAGAGAGCACAATGATGGTGACTATAAAGCTAATCAGTCGACTAACCACCACTTGCACAGACTTCCTCGATGTAGCGCCCAGCACGCAGAAGCCTACGAAGAGTATGTGCAGAACACAGACCTCACTCACGCTGCAGACAAAGGCGGCTATGTAGACGGCCTTCATGATGTGCAGCTCGAGAAAGCGCCAGAAGACAGTCTTGAAACGTTTGAATATGTATTCCGATTTGTTTTTGATTTTGCGAAATGAGATGCGCACTAAATCTCGCACGGATGTCTCAAAGTCCGTTGTGGCCCCCACACCCGGAGCAGACTCTGCTGTGTGGCACACCGAACGACGCAGGGAGCTGGCGCTGCCACGACGCTTCGATTGAGCTGCCTCCACGGCACCAGGCTCCGATTGCTTGGGCGCCTGTAAGGCGCCCTGGGCTCCGACAGAGGTTGGCTGCTGCTGCAGCGAGGCAATGAAACGCTTGTGGAAGTAATGCACCTGTATGACGGTCAGAATGACAATTATCGTAGGCGAGACGAGGTGCAAAAACAGATCCTTAGTCTTATAAAGTTTCAAGCCTATATCAGCTTGGCTGTAGGAGAGAGATAGCAAGTCAAAGATACATTCCAAAGGGGAATTTAGCCCAAGTACTCACAGCGTTTCGGACACATTGAGGTACTCCATCCAGTAGGTGTTAAACTTATCAAATTGATATGTATAGATCAATATCAATATGGACATGGCATAGAAGATTAGGAACAGCCAAAAGCCATACATGATCTTAACCCATGCCTTGGACGATGATTGAAAGACGAGCAAGAAGAATAGGAACAAAGCCATGTAGCAAATGCGAAAGCCGGTCATATCCTCGCCCGTGATGGCGCACAAAAAGATGACTAAAACCAGCAGCCAGATCCAGAGACGCACTAGTAAGTTCTTAATCACATCGCCGGCTTTCTTTAGGAACTTCGAGGTCTTCTTGCCATCGTTGATGGGGTAGGTGGAGCCCGCTGAGCCGACAGTTATTTGCAGCGGTGCTATAATATCAGCCAAGGTGCTGTCACGTCGCCTATCGCGCTTCTCCTTGAAGAACTGACGCGACGTTACCCAAAACATGAGCACAAAGGCAGTCTTCACGATCAGCGGCACACAGGGACGCATATGATTCTCGATGGGTCGCTCGAAGCCGATTTGCTGCAGATTAATGCCCGCCGTCTGAAAATGCATAAGCAAAATAAACGATTTAGTTACACGAATCGGGCAAGCGAGATGTGCAGGGGTCGGGAACTTACTGAGACCTTAGTAGGTAGCTCATTGTTGTTCAGATCCATGCCGTAGATATACTGCGCGACCAGCAACAGCTCCGCATAGAGCACTATGAAGGGACTAGAGCGCATCATAGCCTTGCGCTGATTCGGTATCATCCAAAGCACATTTGCCCACAGCAACAGCACGAAGGTCAGCCAGCTGTGATAGACAATGGACCAGGCCTGACGAGAGAGCAGAGAGAGACGTGAGTATCTGCGTGGAATATTGGATTTGTAGGACTCACCATCATGAGTATATTTGTGAATATGTAGCTGTTCTGATAGATAAAGCCGCCCACGCTGACAAAGCCATAGGAGATCTGATCGAGAATCGATGTGGTGCTATTTTCGTGCTCCGAACGGCGCTCCAGCTGATCCAACTGTATGTCATTGCCACGCGTTGCAGTCGGAGGCGATGTAGCAGCGCCACTCGCCTCCTGTGTGGGGCGTGTCTTGCGTGTGCTCTGACGAACCAGCTAAGGATATATTTAGGAGATTTATGAGTGAATCGCATACTAAAGAAATTAAGTGAGTTTAACATATATACAAAGAAAAGTCTTGGGTTCAGCTAGTGGATCGTAGGCTTAGTGGATGTTAATGTCAACCAAACTAGAACTAGATGAGAATTTTAAGAGCTATATACAAAACAAACCCAAAGCACACGCACGCACACACTTACAACTTATATGTTAGCTGTAACTATAGCTATGAGTTATGACAGATAGATATAGATATATATATATAGTTATACAACTGAATAATTGGACAATGTTAGACAAATACATTTAACAAAAGTAACAATGTAGAACAAGTTAGTTAATAGACAGAATAGATAGAGAGATAGCAGCTAGAGTTATATGTTTACAGAATTGGCTAAGGCTAGAGGTTAGTTTCTAGATGGGCGGGGTACGAGACAGGGGCTTGCTTAGTGGCGAAAAGTGAAGTTAGTTTACGTACAGGCGTCGTCTCTGTCGGTTCATTTAACGCAGCACGCTGTTCACGGCGCAAAGACACCTAAAGCAGAAGAAGTAATAAAATAGAGAGCGTAAACAAAAATCAAAAACAAAAAGAAAAGATGAACATAAACAAAGAGTATAGCGCAAAGAAAACAAATATCCCAAAGAAAACAGAAGAAAACTGCGCAGAAACTCGCGAAGCTTAGCTCAGAGCTTAAGATATTAGTATTAAAAATAATATTAATAATATTAGTTATAGTCATTTACATAGGTCACACTTTGTGTATGCCTTAGTTGTGTTTTTCTTAATATATATACGTAAAGTTAGCTAGGTTGTTCGATTTTTTAAAGCTCTTTCAATACTTTGTTGGTTTTTTAATATATTTTAATTACAATTTAATTAAATTAATAACAGAAAAATATAATTTAGAGTTTTAATAGTTTTTGAAAAATTATTAAAATTAGATTATGAAATACATTTAATAAAATAAAAAAAATATACATTTTTAGTAAACCAAAAAAAATTAATTTTCGGATTAATTAAACTAAATTTTATATGGATTTTTAAGAGGCAAAAATATTAAATAATTTAATCAAAATAAAATCAAAATAAAATAAATAAAATATTTAATAATTTAATTAAAATATACAATTTTAATTACAATTTAATTAAATTAATAACCGAAAAATTTAATTTAGAAATTGAATAGTTGTTGAAAAATTATTAAAATTAAATTATGGAATACATTTAATAAAATAAAAAAAAATATACATTTTTAGTAAACCAAAAATAAATAATCTTTTAATAATTTAACTATATTTTTTATGGATTTTTAATTAAATATTATATTAAATTAAATATTATTTAAGCAAACTATATATAATAAATAAAATATTTAAAATTGATTGAAAATATATAATATATTATTTAAAAGAAAAATAGTTTTATGCGGAATATGAAAAGAAATTTCTCATCCATAAATGAGTTTTCAAAACTTTTATATTGCCATGATATTTAAATTTTTCATCAAATATTTAAATTTTTACTCCATTTGTATTAGAATAAATATATATTTATTCTTTTAGAACTGTTAAAATCTTGGACATGTTTAATTAAATTTAAATAAAGCTTATGAATTTCGAAATAAAATTTGAGTCTCTTGTATAATCTCTAGTTCAGCCTTTTCTAAAATTGATCTTGTAATAAATTTTTTTATCAAAGCCTGACAAAATGAACTGGAAAAAGATGTAATTTTAATCAGAGTTTAGAACCAGTTCAAAGTTTATAGTTTACACTTTTTTTAGATTAAACTGAATTTTTAAAGAGTTAAATGAAATCTTTGACAGCTCCCGTTTAGTAAGCTCAGCCAAAAAGTTTGTCGTTAGTTGCAAACAGTTACAATAGATAGAATTTTAGTTAGACACACACACACACACACACACACACTGAGCTGTCTGCTTTCATCTGAATTGATTGGTTTCTATATATATACGCTGTATACTATAAAGACTTTATATATAGTCCGTGCAACAGCCTTTGACAGTGACTGCTGCACAGTCAACGTCTATTAACTCTATGGGCTTTGGCACATACGCTCACACACCCACCCACACACACACACACACACACAGGCTTACACTCAAACGTTGTGTGCGACTTGTTGTGGCGCCTCCACATGCAGCTGCACTACTCTCCTTGCCACCGCGTGTTGCTTGCGTTGCGAGCAGCGAAAGCTGACGATTGATTTTGTTGCTGGCATTGTTGCTGCTGCTGCTGCTGTTGCACTCGAGCTGCTGCCCAAAGGCGGTGGCGGGCTTTGGCTCCAGCTGGGCGTGGCAGGTGCCAGGTGTCAGGTGAAATTGACAGCAAAAATTTGAGCAAAGCAAAGCGACCAGGTAGCGTTGTTGTTGTTGTTGTTGTTATTTGGTTAGTGAGCAGTCAATTGTTGTTGTTGTTGTTGTTGTTGTTGTATGTGTGCATTAAAGTTTGAATATTTATATTTTATATGTTGTGTTAGCGTTTTTCAAATAGAGATGTGGTTCCAATGCATTATTGCCACAGCAGCAGTGGTAGTAGTAGTAGAAGAAGAAGAGCAAAGAGCGAATAGAGAGCCCAAAAAGTTGTTCAATAACCAAATTTGTTAGTTCGAAAAATAAATTTAAAAATATAAAAATATATATATATTTTACTGTTACGAAGCTGGAATACCCTTGCAGTCAGTTGGAAAATTAAGCTGATAGATCAGATGTGTCTATAAGATATTAATGCTTAAGTTAATAAAGAACTTTAAATAGTCTTTGCTGATAGAGTCTTAGTCTATGTATGCCAAGCATTGAAAGGTAAAAGTGCTTTGGTCGGAAGTGCTCGACTTGAAAATACCCTGAACACAGCGTAGAGTTCACATATGAACAATCAGAAAGCTCAGCTGTGCTTATAGAAAGTTTAGACTTGATATTTCTAACTGATTCAATAACTTCTAATGGATCTATTGCCTAAACAAAGGTTGACATCGTCATATTTTAAAGACTTTGATACGGACAGTTAGCTCTTAACTGAACTGATCAATACTCCAAGATCTAAAGCTGTTTTGAATTTGAATTTGAAGCGAACTTCCTTGAATACATCACAATTCATATCGAAATGCCTCAAGCGCGCTGCAAGGGTCTTCCAAAAAATTGCTATTATCATCATGCTCCGCTTGTCAGGCACTTACCCTCGGTTTGATGAGATGTTTTGTGGTCAGCGCCAGTGCAAAGTAGGCGAAGAACAAGGCAAACGGATTCAGATACGAGTCCAAGGTCAAGGTGTTATTGTAGAGTAGAACGCGTATATCGGGCGAGCAATACGACTCGATAAGGGGCTCCAGACCAATCAAACTAAAAGTTGAAAACGAAATTGATTCAGTGAAGCACTTGCAAAAGGCTTGCCCATTATCTTACCGTGCTGTGAGGCTCGTGTGATTGAGATGGCTCTGCATCCAGGGCGTTTGATAGGAGACAATGCACAGCGAATGCAGCACAAGGACGACCATGACGCAGCGCAGCAACAAAGCAAAGCCACTGAAGCCGCAAACAAAAGAAGGTAAAAAGTATTAGAAGAAGGTGCGAAAAGCAACCAAATTGATTTGATTGCATCGTAAGAGAGACAGAGAGAGGGAGAGAGCAAGTCAAAGAGGTAACATCACGCACCGTTGCAGCGTCTGGCAGGTTGCCCAGTAGGTGCCCGCCAGCAAAAATATTAGAAAATAAAATCCACCAGGCACTGATGGACGCAGTGCGGCCGCAAAGAACAATGTAGCCAAACAGAACAGAGGTGCTGCAAAAGAAGAGGAAGAAACATATATAGAGTCCGTTTATATAAATGCTTTGCAAACAGGTGAAGGTAAACAGGTTGGGCAACATTTACATTAATTGCACTTTAAGAATGCAAATTAAATAGAGAATCGAGTCGAGCAAAGCTTAACAGCTACAACTTAATATAACATTAACATTTGCCAAACAGTGCCACACATTATAATGATAGTTTACTATATAAAAAGCAAGTTCAAAAGAAATCTTCTTGCTACTTAGAGTCCTTCTTGGCGAAACCTAAGCAGAGCAGAGGAATTGCAGTCATTATAACATTACTTTAACAGCCATGTAACTAAAACAAGTTCATCTTAACATTCTGTTAACATAAGCAGCAGCTTAACAGTGCTCCGCCCTGCAGTAACTTAACATAAATTAACGTTGAGCTTAGGGCTTAACATAGCTTTACATAACATTATCAGTGCTGCTATAACATAGCATTAACAGCTAAGTTACAGTCAAGCAGCGCCGACTCTGTGCTACACATAACAGCGCAAACTTTACATAACATTTATGTAAGACTATTCGAAGTATGTACAAATTAAGACTTAACATTCTGTTAGATAGCATTTATGTTAATGCTATACTGTTCACACTTACATATCTTGATCAAGCCCTCAAAGTGTATGTGCTGGCTGATCATGGAGACGCGTTTGCGCAGCTGCTGCTGTTGCTGTTGCAGCGGCGTGGTGGCTGTGGCCTGTTGCACATCGGCGCCATTCGAATCGTGGCCAATGGCAGGCGGCTCCGACTGCGCTTCTGGCAGTTCGCCATTCTCTAGCTGCTCGGCGCTGAGTGTTTGGTTGGCCAAGCGCTTGACGCTGAGGAAACAGGCCAAGGCCGTGGCAAACACCAGGACTTCAGGTGCCAGCCATTCAATGATGGCCATGGGTCTAGGCAAAGAGACAAATGTTAATAATATATATGATTTATATAGACTATATATAACTCACTTCAAGTCCACGAAGCTCATGAAGCCAATGTGCCGCAGCAGCCGCTCGCTGAACGAGCATTGGTAAATGGGCAACGAGACGCTGACGGCAGCCACCTGAAGCGCAATGTGACCCAACAGCACGAAGGCGCTCAATGCCAACAGTATAATAAAGAAGGCCGTGACGGAGCCCTTAAAGTTGCGGCGCGTCGCCAGCGGTATGAACGGGGATATGAAGAACATCAACAGGTACACGAACGAGATGCCCACGGGCCGCATCAGCGAAGCTGTAAAAGGACACAAAGCAGAGCCAAGTTTAGACTTAAGTTTGGTATTGGATTTAACAAGCTTTAAGTAATCATTTCTCTTTCTGAAGTTTTATAGTTAAGCTGAGTTCAGTTTCTGTTTTATAAACACTTCAACAACTATTTGTATTACAAATTTCCAAAGTAGTCAAGCTAATGCCTTGACGCTTGAGTTAGTCTGAATACCCTTTCTCTGTACTCTGCGAGAGTTTATAGAGATTTGATTGCTAGTTGCTCTTAAAGTCAAAGCTTTGTCCACAGAAATCTCTGAATGGAAAAAGGCTAGAAAACTTATGTACACGAAGTACGAAGTCTGAATACCCTTTATTTTCAAATTTAACAATTTATATAAAATTCAACAATGAATGAATATTTTAATAAATGAAACTTTATTTTAAATTAATTAAAATACGATAAATTTATGCCTAATTTTTGAAAATTTACTGAAGAGACAAAAAATTCGAAACTCTGATAAATGTTAACAAATTTGATATAATATAAAAATAAATTTGATAGAAACAAGTCTAACTCAAAGAGTCAGTAATATCTATGTATAGTCCTAGCCATAAGCTATGGCTTTAAAAGCTCTTATAAATAAGTTTGATGGGCTATAGAATGAACATTTGCTATAGTATCTTATCTATGCTAAGTACTAACTATAATCGGCACTTCTTATAGTATTTTAATTATGCTTGATAAGACACAATATGAAATGAATAGTGTTCCAAAGATACTGTAGGCTAACTTCAGGGAAAAGGAAGCGATTTTTATATTTTGCTTAAACAAGATATCACATTGATGTGAGACAGTGAGGGCTACTCGGCAGAGTAGTTTAAGAGGGTCTCCTGGCACTTAGCCTTAGACAAAAACCATTCTGAGCTGACAGTAGCTGATGACACTTACCCAATACCAGGACAGCCGGCACGACCACGCGCTGCAGCACCAGACAAGCATAACTGAAGGCCATTTTGTAGCAAGTGTGGATGCGATGCGGTTAAGGTTGGGCGAGTGCTGCTCCTCCTGCTCCTCCTGCTCCTCCTCCACCTACTTCAGCTGCTGTTGCTGTTCACGTTGCGGCTGTGCCCCTTGCCTTGACTCATTCATAAAACTTGCAGGCGCAAACAGCAATTGCTATTTCTGTGGGCCACCGCTGTGTGAGGACGCAGCGCAGCGCAGCTGGAAATGCAAAAAAAAAGGGGGGAGAATAGAGAAAATAAATTAGAAATTATATTAGATAAGCGACAGATGGGCGGGCAGCGGGGCGTGGCAGCTCGCTGTCAGAACATGTTACGCCTAATGGCAACTGGCAAGAGGAAGCGTTTTGGCCAAAGTGCAGCCAACCAAGTGACTGCGCCCTGTTGCGCTTGTCACGCTTCCTTCTACTCCTGCTGCCTGCTGCCACCCCGTTAAAGCTTTAACTAGTTTGCTAGCGACTTTTTAATCTTTTGACTTATAAACATTAACTTGGTTTTAATTACAACTAAAAAGCAACAAACAAAACTGTTTTTGCCTGTCGCACAGTTTGGGCGCGTCCGCAGCGATAAGCAACACACACACACACACATACGCCTACACACAGTGTTGTCTACTTGTGTGGGCGTGTCTGTGACAGTAGTCGCTGGCACATGGCGCACGCCATTCCAACTTGGGTTGGGTTAGTTTCAATTTAACTTTTCCGCTTTGGCTTTTATGCGCGACTTTGGCCTCCACAAAGGATCCACCTGCCTGCCGCATGTAATTGACATTAAATGTGCCACATTATGTGCCATTTATATGCCTGTGCCATACGATAAATCGAACACATTAGAAATTATATATAAATATATATATATATATATATATATATATATATATATATATATATATATATATATATATATATATATATATATATATATTTATTTATTTATATACTCAATAATGAATATAATTGTATGCAACAAATAAACTTATGACTGAGTAAACCTCAATAAAAGTTTAATTAAAGAAAAATCATTGAAACCTTTTTTTAAATATTTATTTACAATTAAATAATCTTGAATTGAGAAGTAAACAAAACCTTGAATATTAAAATAAAATAAAATTAGCAATAATAACAAAGGTATTTTTCTAAACAATTTTTAAGAACACTTTTCACGCAATAAAATGTATTAAGCAATTTTATTTGAAGTACAAATATTGAACCGTACAAATCAAGGTTTTCATAAACTTTAAAATTTTACAATACATTTTTTTTACCAAATTTAAAGCAATGCCAACAAGAAAGGCTAAATCAACAGAACAGTAAAGAATACAAAATGAAAAAAAAAAAAAACACAATAAAGTATTTAAGCATGTGCGAAACATTAACATTTTTCATAATAACAACAAAGAAAACGAAAAGAACAAATAAAACAAAGCTGCTCAATTGTTTGAGAGTGTGTGAGTGCTGCTTTGCGTGCCAAATAAAGACACTGACAATGTTTCTGCAGCCGCTGCCGCTGCCGACGTCAACGCCAATGGTAACGACTGCACATTAACAGAATATGAGCTAATGACAGAGCAAAAAGCGCACAGGCACAAACACACACAAACAAATAGACTGAGAGCGTGAGAGAATAATAGAGAGACCGGCATAATTGTTAACGCACATTTAATTAAGCATGTGCGAAATATTTGAATTTTTCATAATTTATGCTAAGAAAAAAACAAAGCAAACAGCGAAAAAATGAACAAATACAACTAAAGCGGCTCAATGGTTTGAGTGTGTGTGTGCGCGCTCGTTTTTATGCTGCCGCTGCATCTGCCGACGCCAACGTCGTCATTCAAGCACATTAGCATAATATGAGCTAATGAGAGAGCAAAAAGCACACATGTACACACAAGCAAATAGTCTGAGAGCGGAGAGTGATAGTGGAACAGAGAGAGAGAGAGAGAGAGAGAGAGACCGGCATTATTGTTGGCGCACATTTAAGCAAACAGACGTCGGCTAGACGCAAAAAGTAGGCTATTAAAATAGTAGTAGACCTTTGGAAAAAAGTAGTAGCTGCCAAAGCAGATGTGTAATGGCACAATAATGGGAGCGAGGGTGCGGCACGTTTACTTAACGCACACACGGCCAGACAGATAGAAGTGCCCAAGCATATGGCAATTACACAATGATAAAGCTATCGAACACACAAGCAGAGCAGATGCTGAGACAACGAAAAGTGGCAGAAAATCGCATGGAAAATGCTTGGAAATAAAAAAAATGTATGAAGGCTAAGTTTGTTTATAGAAGAAATATGATATAGAGGTAACAACATGTTGGCACCTGTTGATTATTGTGGAATGTTTAACGAATAAGCAAAGAGTTTTATTAATGGATGCGATTCTTTACATAAACAAGAAATATACCAAAAATAAAACTAGCTAAATATATTATTTAAAATATATATTATTAATTGACTTTGGCAGTAGAGCTTGGCCAAGTTATTATGTCATATTGTTAACGGCCAAATTAAAGCTAAATTAGATAAATTAGTGTTCAACCGGTTTATGGCATCATCGCAGCTGAATGCGGGACGTACGAATGTGTGTATGTATGTGTGCATGTGGGGCATATAGCATTAAAGAGGCGTGGCTGTGTGCGGGTGAGCACTGCGTTTGATTGCGCCATCAAAGCCAAGGGGCAGATGTTGTTGACACAGACATTGAGCTTCAGATTGGAAGTTAAATTGTTGAAACGTAACAAAGATTGTAGGGGAGCGGGCAGCGGAGGGGGGAGGTCTATGCAGTCCGCTGTTCTATGCATATGAAATATCAAGCTATTTGTGCTAGCTGTGCACGCAGCACATTGGCATAACAAACAAACATATACATAGATATAGAAGCTATACATGTATAGATACATCTGAATTTATATTGTTTTGGCAGCTGGCAGATGTGGTCTATCACATATATTTGGAGGCTGACTTTTGGCCTGTTGCTATTTCAATTTGAATTTTGAATTATCATGTTTATTTTGGTTGCGTTTTAGCTGCTAAGACGTGACTATCATATACCCTGCATACAGCAAAGTGGTAGGTAGTATTAGCTAGAGCAATAGCAGAAATGTTGCTTATTTAAACTAAAGTTCAAATCGAAAATATTTAGTAAAACTGAATCTTCTTTTTTACAGGGTATCTCTATGGTCCTCACATTCGAGTCTGTGTTTAGCCATTGTTGCCTTTGTCTTGCTTTGTCTTTCGTTTCGTTTACTTGGCACACATATCGAATTGAACATTTCATTGGCAAACTTTGCCTCTGTCTCATGTCCCATGTTGTTATTGTGTGGCATGCAATAAATTGCAATGATATTATTGTTACAAGACTTGCAATCAGCATTAACATTTATTTAGGCAAATGCCAAGCCCGCCAGACAGCAGCATTTGCTTGTGTCTCTCTCGCTGCGCTCCATGTCGTATACTTGATGTGCATTCGCGATGCACACGAAGCACTTGGAAAAGTGCCTTAGATTTTAACGTCTGTGTGGGGCAATTAGCAACGAAATGTCTGACTTTGATAAGTGCTGAAAAGCTTTTTAAGATATTAAGAATATTATGATACAGTCATCGCTCGAAAATAGTAGAAAAGAAAAACGTAGGCTTCTCTCACTCTTCTGTATTACTCTCTACCCTTCCCCACTTTTTATTCTACTCTTTTGTAATCCTTTGTACTCTTCTGTACTCTTCCCTACTCTCCTCATCTCTCATCTGTCTGCTGCCTTCTCTTTCCTCTCTCCTCACTTCTCTCCTATCTTCTCTCTTACCTTCTCCCTTGTATCTTTTCTCTTGTCTTTTCTCTTGAGTTGCCTCTTGTCTTCTCTCTTGTCTTCTCTCTTGTCTTCTCTCTTATATTCTCTCTCATCTTTTTTCTAGTCTTCCTTCTTGTCTTCTCTCTTATCTTCTCGCTCATCTTTTCTCTTGTCTTCCCTCTTGTCTTTTCTCTTGAGTTCCCTCTTGTCTTCTCTCTTGTCTTCTCTCTTGTCTTCTCTCTTGACTTCTCTCTTATATTCTTTCTTATCTTTTCTCTAGTCTTCCCTCTTGTCTTCTCTCTTATCTTCTCGCTCATCTTTTTTCTTGTGTTCCCTCTTGTCTTCTCTCTTATCTTCTCTTTTGTCTTCCCTCTCGTCTTCTCTCTTATTCTCTTATCTTCTCGCGTGTCTTTTCTCTTGTGTAGCTTTTAGAACGTTCTACTTAGCGAGCCCTCGCTGTATTGGCCTCATTAGTATTTGCTTTCACTTTAAACTCAACAACTGGTTTCTTATTAAATTCCATTATTTTTAGCATTTACGCTTTGCCTCTTTTTCTCTTCGTCTTATTCTGTCAGTGACTTTCCCTTTTGAAATATCTTTTATAATATTTGCATAGTATTCGCAACTTTACATTTAAATGTTAAGGTTATGTTAAGATAAGCTGTTAACTAACATAAGCTGTTAATGTAAATCGGGAAATGCTGAGCAGCTGTTGCACATGGCATGCTTGTGCCACAATTAAAACTAATTTAGAAGAACTGTTATTAAGAATTAAGTATACGTATAATTATGTCAGCCTATAGTAGTGTTGCTCATGAAATAAGTAATTTGATCCTGGTAACGCCTTTTCATTAGGAGGTGTAGGTGTTGAAGATACCTAGAAGAGCTCCCACTCCCTGACTGTGTTGTTGTTACCTGTTGACATGCCCATTTGTCTATTGAACTAGTTACACGTAAATGTCAGGTCATCATACCTGGGGCCAAAGGCACGTTTGACACTCATTTGACAGTTGGCTGTCATTGACACAGACCTCAGAGTACGGCGTAGGAGAAGGAAAACTGTTGCGTGTCGCTGTCATAAGGAAATGGCCAAGCAGCAGAAGTTACAGTGCGGCTGACCGGCCCAATGATAAATGGAGATGAATGCTTATTTAGATAGTACGAGGAGCGTTGCCTGACCAACGGGCATAACATTGAAATACTTCTTCTGTTTTTATTCTAATGCAAATGAGCTTGGAAATTTACTCATAAAACTGACGACACTTTATGACAGCTAAAAAAAAGAATGGTAAATGAAAGGTATGCAATTAAATGACGTCAACCAAATGACATTTGTCAGGGTAGTTGGGCAGCTATTTGGCCACATTAAATGCGTGAAGTGACATTTAACTGGGCGTAGAGTAATTGCGAAATGGCGAAGAGT